GGTTGATGTTTCCGGTGCAAGGTTTTGTTAGTTTTGTATCGAATACCATTACTACAACGACATGTTTTCTAGCTTATCCTGCGTTTACTAACACACACGGAGTCATTAAAAATGCGGCTCTCACATCATTAATGCTGTTACTATATTGTATCAATAGCATTACCATTTTCTCAATGTGCTTGGTTTGGCGAAAAACAGGAGGCAATGGTGAAGGATACAGTCAAGCGCTCAACGGAACCAAACCTGAACTTGATGACCTATCTGAAGGACGCTTACGTGCACCCCGTCTTCAAGGGAGGGCAGATGCAGATGCAGAAGCAGGAAGTAGAAGATGATGAAGAGGATAGTAGTCCTCTTGTTCGTACAAAGAGAACGTCTCAAATGGGTAGTAAACACGAATCTGATGCCAGTCCGCAAATTCGCAGTTAGTTTTTCCTTGTCGGCAGACACATCTTTTAGGATCAAAGCTTTCTTCTTGTTCTTGTATATGCATGAGGATCATTGATTAGCAGTCTTTATTCTGTGGATACATAATAGGAGCCTAATTTGTAATATTAGAAAGCCAATGTAGTGATGGGTTCTAATTTATAGACCTGACAATTTTTTTTAATGCCCCGTTAGTACGACATGAAGCGACGTGAAAATAACAGGGTTTGGGTTAATCGGTTAACGAGTCAGGTTATTATCAGGTTACCCATTAAGAACACGTTAACGAATCGAGTTGTTATCAGATCACCTGTTGAGATAATGGATATGACACGTAAATGACATGAACGCGATTGTTTGCAAGTTTTAGACATTAGGTCAGACAACTTGTTGCATTACCCATTAACCTAACACAAAACGACACGATCCGTTAACGAGTCGAGCCATTATCGGGTCACTTATTAAAAACCCGTTAAGATAACAAGGTTGACACGATATGATTTATTAAGATAACTGATATGATGTGGAAACGATACGAATACGATAAACACGACCCGTTTGCCATATTTACTCATTTGTATATTTTAACATGAGTTTATTTTTTATTAACAAATGTAATATGTTGTTAAAATTTTAGAGACGGGCCTGCAACCTACTACTAATAAGGGGTGTGTTATTCACACACTCCTTCTTAATTTCTGGCATTTGATTTTTTTCAATTCATCCGATCCGACTGCTGAAAATTAGAAAGTGTGTTAGAAGTAAAAAAAGATTTATGGATATCACACCCTACTACTAATTACATCAATATTATCCCTGTTTAACATCTTGCAGAACTCGACATGTGTTAAATTTTATTAGAATTCGATACAATTAATAGTAGAACGATTCAAGATAAAGACGATCTAACTCTATGAATTTTTCGACATGTGTTGGTATAGATAATTTCGTATTTTACTTTTAACCTTTATTTTTCTCTTAAAACATTTTATCTTAGACGAAAATTTTAACGGTATCACTCAAAACGATCATTGCTATAAAAATTTTTGTTAAAATATTATTATCTTTACAGAGTTTAAATTTTAGCTAAAATCGAACGGTCGAGCATTTTCGTAGGAACAATTCAAGTTCACGCTTACCCATCTCGATCTCGATCAGCTTTGCTGCGCTCTGCGGCCAATAAAATCCTGACAACTTTCCAAAAAACGAAATCCCACACCTCTCTGCTCTCTTGCCTTCCTCCTCTTCAATGTGACTGGCCTCTATCTCTCTCTCTCTCTCTCTCTCTCTCTCTCTCTCTCCTTCCTCCTGCTTCTGCATGAGTCTGATTCTCACTATGCAAGTCTAATATTGTAAGTTCATATCTCCCACTTCGTTGTATTCAATCTCTGAATTTGTCAATGCTTATGATCTTCTGTCTGGTTGTTAGCTGCTGATGCAATTAATTATGAACACCCGTCTGGATTTTTTTATTGTTTTTACTTGAATTATGACCAACCCATCTTAGATTATCTCAAACTAAAATCTGGGTTTAGCTTCTTTTCTTGATTCACACGGTTTTTTTTATCATTTGATAGTTTCTGATCATTTGTGACCACTCTCATGGATCCTGTTCTTTTTATTATCAGTAAAATGTTGTCATTGCAATTTGCAATTTCATGTTGCAGCATGAAAAATTGGAAATTATGATTCTTTATCGAATGCCGGTGATGTAAGAAGTTTGTTCAGAAGATGATGATTTGCTAGGATCCAAAATATTAGGGAGATTTGGAAAAAAATTGTTTGGTTTTAAGGAAAAATTAACATACTTTCTCTTGAACAGAATGCCTGTGCACATTTGAGTAGGGAGACCTTCGTGTTTGAGGCTCTAGGATGGCAACTCTTCCGCTGTCAATCGCAATACAGACCTCCTGTTGTTTGAATTGTGGAACCACTGAATTGCCTAAGCTGACAGCTATGGATCGTTATAGACACAGGAACAACGGTGTTCATGGTTATGTAAAATTGGGTACAGAAAGAAATCTAGTTTTACGAGAAGTTGTGCAAATTTTCAAGGAAAGGCCTCCAAGGGACCGTGAATGGAAAGTGTATGCTACATCCCGAGTTTCTGTTGAGCCAATGGAGCAAAGAGTCTCCACCGGTACTGAAACCGAAGAACCAAGCAAGGTATCAACTTATCTATTTAGGACAGACACTGGGGATCTGGTAAATGTCTTTGTTAGAAAGAGAAATGCCAAATACACTGTGAATATCGAAGTTTCATTGTTACATCCGTCCAGAAGTGATAGAAGACTAGTACTGAGTTGGGGAATGTATAGAGCTGATTCATCTAGTTTCGTGCCTTCGAATTTCAGAAGTTCGACCCCAGCTGACAGAACAACTGCCCTTGAAACTCCATTCACTGGGACATCTTCTGGCAAGTTTACTCTCGAATTGGAGTTTGAGGCTAAACAAATCCCCTTCTACCTCTCGTTTGTTTTGAAATCTCCCGCAGACGCTGATTTGAGTGACTTGGAAATAAGAAGCCATAGGAAGACAAATTTCTGTTTTCCAGTTGGTTTTGGTCGAGGCTGTCCTGCTCCATTGGGTCTCTCTTTCTCTAATGACGGTTCTATGAACTTTGCCATCTTTTCAAGAAATGCAGAAAGTGTAGTTTTATGCTTGTATGATGAGACCACAGCCGAAAAACCTGCGTTGGAGCTCGATCTAGATCCATATGTTAATCGATCAGGTGACATCTGGCATGCGTCATTTGAAAATGCATGGGATTTTGTGAGCTATGGTTATAGATTTGATGAAGGGAATGTCTTGCTGGATCCATATGCTAAGAACATTGCGAAATCAGTTCCACATGGGACAGGGTCGAAGTATCTTGGAAGACTATGTGAGGAACCTGCTTTTGACTGGGCTGGTGATGTTCTGCCCAACTTAACGCTGGAAAAACTTGTGGTTTATCGGTTGAATGTGAAACGTTTTACCGAACACAAGTCTAGTAAGCTACCAACTAACATAGCAGGCACATTTTCGGGTTTGACAGAGAAGTTGGAGCATTTTAAAGCTCTCGGTGTGAATGCAGTTTTGTTAGAGCCGATTTTCTCATTCGATGAGCAAAAGGGTCCATATTTTCCTGTCCATTTCTTTTCACCAATGAATTGTTTCGGACCTTCTAGAGGGCCTGTATCAGCTGTCAATTCTATGAAAGAGATGGTGAAAAAATTTCATGCCGACGGAGTAGAGGTCCTACTGGAAGTTGTTTTCACCCACACCGCTGAGGGTGAAGCTATGCAAGGAATCGATATCTCATCGTATTATCATGTAAACGGGGTTGAGGATTTGGAAGCCAGAAATGCTTTGAATTGTAACTATCCTGTCGTGCAACAAATGGTATTGGATAGTCTTCGGTACTGGGTGACTGAGTTTCACGTTGATGGGTTTTGTTTTATAAATGCATCATCTCTGTTGCGAGGGTCTAATGGTGAATACTTATCTCGCCCGCCTTTGGTCGAAGCAATTGGTTTTGATCCTCTACTCTCGAAGGCCAAGATCATCGCAGACTGTTGGGATCCCCGTGGCTTGGGACCAAAGGAAACTCGCTTTCCTCACTGGAAGAGGTGGGCAGAAGTGAATACGAAATTCTCTAATGATGTGAGAAACCTTCTGAGGGGTGAGGGTCTTCTGGGTGACCTTGCTACACGGCTTTGTGGGAACGGGGACATCTTCTCAGATGGACGAGGACCAGCATTCTCTTTCAACCTTATTTCCAGGAACTCCGGACTTCCTCTCGTGGACCTCGTTAGTTTCAGCGGTGTTGAGCTAGCTGCAGAACTGAGTTGGAATTGTGGGGAAGAAGGGCCTACAAATAAAACCGCTGTACTTGAAAGGCGACTTAAACAAATTCGTAACTTTCTCTTTATCTTGTTTGTTTCACTCGGCGTTCCGGTTCTTAACATGGGAGATGAGTGCGGACAATCTACAGGCGGTTCCCCTGCATACAGCGACAGAAAAGCTTTCGACTGGAACGCACTGGGAGCAGGTTTTGCTACTCAAACCACACAATTCATCGCATTTTTAAGTTCGTTTAGGATAAGGCGGAGCGACCTACTTCAGAAGAGGAACTTCTTGAAAGAAGAAAATATAGACTGGTACGGGAGTGATCGATCTTCTCCCAAATGGGAAGATCCATCCTGCAAATTCCTTGCCATGAAGTTGAAAGCAGACGAAGAGGAAGCGAACGAATCAGGAGATGATTCTTCCCCTTCATGGGGTGACTTATTTGTTGCCTTCAGTGCAGCTGATCTTTCAGAAACTGTTATTCTGCCTCCACTGCCGGAAGGTATGGGATGGTTCCGTTTGGTCGACACGGCTCTTCCATTTCCAGGTTTTTTCTCAACTGACGGCGAGCCAGTTGCCGAACAACCGGCGGGTTTATTTGCTTACGAAATGAAGTCCCACAGTTGTGCTCTGTTTGAAGCCAGAAGCTTGTAGCTCCAGTATAGTAGCACATAGGGCACTGCTGTAAATTCCATGTAAATTCAAGAGCCTTTTCCTGTAATTTCAATGCCATTAATCTTCGATTAAAGCAATAAAATCATTAATTTTCACTGAATAATCTTTGATCTTTTCAAGCCAACGAAAAACCCTTTACCCCTTCACCAAGAAAATAGAAAAAGCTAGTATAAAATAATTTTGCTACCACTGCAAATTGATGGCCAGGTCTAGTATGGATTCTACCAAGCGTATGGCACGTTGCTTCTCCTGCTGCTTCAACCGATTAGCAATGGCTTCAGGATCAAGCCCTTGTGCATTTTGTGCTTCATTTTGTACTTCACTTTGCTCAGCCCGAACCTCTTGCAGCAATGCATCGACCTCTCTAACAAAGTCTACCCTCAACAGAGCATCATCAGCTTCAACTGGTAGCCTGAGTGGTCCTTCGTGCTGATAGAGGAAAAAGACAATCAAATAAAGAAGTCAGAAATGACAAAAATGACGTAACAGATACAAATTTGTTGGCATCACCGTCTGTTATGAGTTGATCAATAATCTGATAATACTTAAAAAACTTGTTTTGGGACAAAAATTTGTTTCCAACAATGGTCATTTGCATTTTGAAGTGTAAACTGTTTTGTCCGTTTACAAGTCTTGATATTTTCTTCACAGATTAAAACTTTTCTGCTGGAAATCTGGAAACAAGCAATCATAATAAGTCTGCAATCTGCAAATTCGCATCATACCTTATCAATGTCAAATCCTGCTGGAACAAGAATGCTAAATGGATCCTCTCGCGGAAAAGTATCAATCATGCGCTTTTTGCATTCCTTCAGCCACCCTTCACCATCGAACCCATCATGCATATTCAAAAGATCGTTGAGCAGTCTCATCGCAGGAGTAGCCTCCCTTTTCAAAATCTCAGCCTAAAATGTTAAGTAGAACTCAATTTTTCTGAATATAAAATTGTACACAACGGGTTAGGGTGTATTTGGCTAATCTAAACTAATTATGTAAGATATTCTACACTGAAATTATTGAGTGATTGCAATAGCTCAAATTCTCCCACTTGGAATGGAATCAAAGTATAAAAAGGTTAACAGCTGATTCCATAATACTAAAATCAACATTTCATGGCTAGAACATAGAATAGGATGAGAGCAGCTCGTACCTCGACCCTTCTGTATAGCAAATCGAGACTTCTAATAACATCCTTTTCATCCTGTAAAGAGGTCATAAATACCCAAAATCAATAAGCTGGTGAGCGTGAGAGATAGAGAGAGATGACGACAGTTGAAGAGTCACAAGGAAATATGTGATAGGTTATCTATAACATTAGACTGATCCAAGCTACTTATTAGGTTGCGTATGTTGATCTCAAGCAATCAGTAACCACTGCCCGTTTCTAAAGGGCAGCCACTGACTTTTAGGTTACAGAAAACTTCATTTCTATAGCTCTGAATCAATTTTTTTTCAGAATCATATTCTATCAAGTTATGAACAAATTAAAGGAAAAAATTAAATTTTCTTGACCACAATTCTGATATCATGTCACCGCAAAACTTTGAAATTTGAGCTAATGAAACCTTACAATTACAAATACTACTAAAGATAGTCACTGTGTTGGTCATCAACAAACATCAGCACAACCACGAAATTGTCATAGTCCCATCAACTTACATCACGTCGAGCGAGGTCAAGGCGATTCCATATGACCATCAAAACAAGTTCAGTCAGTTCCCCTTTCTCAGCAGCTTCCTCAATTTTCTGCATATAAATCATGAACATCAATTAACTCACAGTCCGAGTACAAGTACAAAACGCAATCAAACAAACTTAAGAAACTGAAAGTGATCACAGTGAAAACTGAATGTCTTCCTAAAAGACTAAAGCCAATTTTAGCACAATGGGATTTCTGAAATCACCTCTTCCACTTCTTCAGCTGCTCTGATAAAGCTTGAAATCAGCTTCCGAGCATTTCGGACATCTTCTTCAGGATAATCCTTCAATCTCATGCCAATCTCCCTATACTCTTCAACCTTCCTCTCCTCCTCTTCGTCTTCCTCTTGGCGCCTTCGATTGAGCTCCTTTGTCTTCTCCCTTTGCTGAGCTTGCCATTCCTAATTCAGAAAAAGTTTACTTCCACTTCCAGCTTCCAAAACTAGAAAATATGCTAACAAATACCGCTACTAAATTCGGCAAAACCCAAAAATAAAATACAAAACTTTACACGTAAAATCACAGAAAAACATTAAATTTGAGCACCCATTTGGCCAAATTAAAGGATAAAGGACGCTCACATCGTCGTAGTACTCTTTGGGAAGACCTTCTAATACTGGTTCTTCCTTTTTCATGCTCTTCCTCAAAACTGCCATCAAAACCCAGAAAAAAGCATACAAATTCAGAAAAGAAAAGGTTCAAAACTGCCATAAAAATCCAGAAAAGCATAAAAATTCAGAGAGAAAAGTTCAAAAGCTCCAATTAAAAACCCAGAAAGCGTACAAATTTAATAGAAAGAAAAAGTTCAAATTTCAAAAACCAACTGATGCGAGTGAATAGTGGGAGGTTGTGTTATGCACCTGAAACATATTTTGGCTTCAACTGAGAGGACCAGAGCCTTGTATGCGAGGAAGATGACGATGGCGTCGGTGAAAGCGGAGGCGCTGCGCATGTTAGCGAGAACACCCTCGCTTCCATTTCTCTTGTTTTCACTCGATGAGTGTTTATACTTTACAGGGCGAGACTGACCGTCAACTCTAAAAAGTACCAATATTTTTTCATGTTAAGATTGTTGAATGATAAATTTATCCATAATTTTTTTTTTTATTATTTTGCCCCCTTTTTTATTTTTAATGAGCTATATTATCTACATTAAAGAGCTAAAAAGTAGGTTAAGTTTCACAATGGACAAGTCAAATAATATGATTTCAATTTGGTTTTTAGTGAGAATCGAACTTAAGACATCTCGCTGATCGCTATTAGCCTCGACATTAGTCTCGCTTCTAAATTATTCCAAACTAGTAAGCGAAGTGTTGGCAAAATGTACGTAAAAAAAAAGGATCTAGGAAAGAGTAGACCTCAGAATCTTAAATTATTTTTTCTGGAAATTACTACAACATAGTGGGCAATTATATGAAGGGTTCTTACTGGTAACAACGCATTCACTTATTGAGCTAAAAATTTACAAAGGTTATTACCAGTAAGAATGCTTGTAAATTTTCAGTTCTACAAATGAATGTGTTCTTACCGATAAGAACACATGTAAATTCTCAGCTCCATTAATGAACGTGTTCTCACCACGTTCATATATGACTAGTGTCTTGTTTTGTACTAATTTCTAAAAAAAAAAAAATTTAGGCCCCACGATCTACTTTTCTAGATCATTTAAAAAAAAATTATTCCAAAATAGTAGGTAAAGTTTTAGAAAAATGCATGTCATAATAAGCCGCTCAAGTTATCGCTAGAATGCAGGGCATGACATGTCTTGACAAGCCATGACTTGTCTTGACACGCACACCCTTCCATCGTGGCACGCCATAATAAGCATTTTGAATTGTCGACAAAATGCATGGTGCGTCATGACATGCATTCTGTCGACAATTCGCAATGCTTGTCATGTTGGGGTCACCAATGATGTTTTGGCATGCCACGATGCGAGGGTTAGCATGTCATGTCATGCATTTTCTAACATTCGACATGCTAATCCTCGCATTGTGGCATGCCAAAACATCGATGTTGGCATGCAATGACATGTCACATGTCTTTACAAGCCATGACTTATCTTGACACGCTATAACAAGTGTCTCGAATTATTGACATAATGCATGGCGTGCCATGACATGCATTATGCCTACAATTTGCGACGCTTGTCATGTCGGGGCCAACAATGATATTTTGGCATGCCACGATGCAAGGGTTAGTGTGTCATGCCATGTATTTTTCTAACACTTTGACATGCTAATCTTTGAATCGTGGCATGCCAAAACATCACTATTAGCCATGACACTAGCCTCGCTTCAAATTATTCTGAAATAGTAGGCAAAGTGTTAGCAAAATATATGTAAAAAAAAGATCTAGGAAAGAGTAGACCCAGGAGCCTTAAATTATTTTTTTGGAAATTAGTACAACATAGTAGGCAATTATATATTAAGGGGTCTAACCTGTAAGAACATGTTAACTAATTGAGCAAAAAATTTACGAAGGTTATTACTGGTAAGAACACTTGTAAAATTTCAGCTCTACCAATAAGCGTGTTCTTACCGGTAATACGTGCAAATTTTTAGCTCTACTAATGAATGTGTTCTTAGTAAGAACACGTTAATTATATGACTAGCATCCTGTTTTGTTATTAATTTAAAAAATAATAATTTTAGGCCCAGTGTCTACTTATTCCTAGATCTTTCTTCTTTTTTTTTTTTTTCTTTTTTTTTTTTTAAATTATTCCTAAATAGTAGACAAAGTGTTAGAAAAATGCATATCATAACAAGCCTCGTGAGTTGTGGCAATGTAGGGCATGACATGTCTTAACAAGCCATGAATTGTCTTGAGTCACAAATAAAGAGGAATACTACTAAACCTAAGTTGATATTATTTTGCCTCTTATATACTAATGTATGTTTTTTAATTATTTTTATATGAAAGCTAAAAATTAAATGTCAAAAGTAAAAAGAGTTGTGTCTATCGTAAATTGAACATCTACCGTAAATTGAACTGAATACAACAACAAAGTCTTTTCCCACTAAGTGGGATAAGTTATATGAATCCTAGAACGTCATTACGCTCGGTTCTATGTCTAGATCCAAGTACTCTAAGTCTTTTCTTAAAGTCTCTTCCAAAGTCTTTCTAGGTCTTCCTCTACCCATTCAGCCCTGAATCTCTATCACGTAATTGGATATTCTAACCAGAATGTCAGTAGGGCTTTGTTTTACATGTCCAAACCACTGTAACCGATTTTCCTTCATATTTCCTTCAATTTCGGCTACTCCTACTTTACCTCGAATATCCTCATTCCTAATCTTTTCCTTTCTTGTGTGCCCACACATCCAACGAAGCATTCTCATCTCTGCTACACCCATTTTATGTACGTGTTGATGCTTCATCGCCCAACATTCTGTGCCATAAAACATTGCCGACCTTATTACTATCCTATAAAGTTTTTTCTTGAGCTTTAGTGGCATACGACGGTCACACAACATGCCAGATGCACTCTTCCACTTCATTCATCTAGCTTGAATTCTATGGTTGAGGTCCTCATCCAACTCTCTGTAAATTGAACTGAATAAATAAATAAACACTCCTATCACTTTTTTTTTTCTTTCCAAATTATAGGATCAATTACATTTATAGAATAGATTAGAACCGATGATACTTTTGCTATTCTTTCGATCTTGTATTTGGTTTAGTAATTTTCTTTCATTATGACTTGTAAGGGCATGTCCAAAAGAGATGTAAAAAATAATATGTCAAAATTTTCTATAATTGTTGATGTGGCTCATTGAATATAAATGTTAAATCTTCTTCTTCCCAACAAATGTGTCAAATATTTTTTTTTATTAATATATTGGGCTCCATAGTTTGTTACATTAACTATTAAAAAATAATTAAAAATAATTTAATTTTCATCATATAGGTTGTCAATCAGACTTATATATTAAAAAATTAAATTAAAGACATTTAATTCCATCTTGGTTTGCTCTATAAAAGTACAGCCGAAAAAAGAGTCAAATGACCGATCCACTACATCATGCACGACATCTCCCATTCGAGAACACTTTGATGTCTTTTTGATCCACATGATAATGGGATAGTGGGGGATCCTTTATGTAATGTAGTTTAATCTTTTAAAAAGAAAATGCATAAGGTAAAATTGAGTTAAATAGTTTCCTTGTCATATTATTAATGCTCCAAAATCGTCATCATGTACTAACTACTTCACCTAATTCATATATTTAGTTATTTTTCGCTTCATAGTTAAATGTTGTTTTATATTTTATATTTTATTTTTGTAGAAAAAATATGATACTATTTTATTACAATCTCATTTTTACAATATATTTAACTGTCTGATAATTCTCACTTTACTACTTGAAGTTCCGTTGTTTTTAAAATTGCATAGATATGATTTTTTTTTTCTTTTCATCATAGTCTCATAACTAAAGTGAGGAATGTGAAACACTTTCATACTTTGTTACGCTTTTCGTCAAATGAACCTCCATTACCATGTGACATAACTTCAACGCAAGAAATGACTATGAACCACGTGTCGGTGTGCCCCCACATAGACATTAAAAAATTAAAAAAACTTGATGAGAATTGCCCTTGACTATTTTAGTACAATCTCATTTTCCTTCAATCAAAATATTGAACACAAAATCATTTTATTATTCAATAAAAGAATCACCTTTGTAATTTGCATGAATCTTCTGCCCTCACTTAGTGTGTGGTCTCTATCATTAATTGACATGTGTTAAGTTCATGATAGCAAAATGGATGCAAAAGATTTGAACTCCCAATCTCCCAATCTTTACATCGCAACAAGGAATATCGTACAAGACATGCATCTCCGTAAGTCGCCTTTTCACCAGAAAGAACTTCTCTACAACGGACAATGGCATCCCCGCTGTAAGTAAGTTTCTCTCTGATGGACGCCTAGATGCCTCCACGACGTTCGGACCTCACATTCACAAGTCCGTAAGTCGCCTTTTCACCGGAAAGAACTTCTCTGAAACGGACAATGGCATCCCCGCTGTACGTAAGTTTCTCTCTGATGGATGCCTACATGCCTCCACGAAGTTCAGACCTCACATTCAACGACTAGTTCAGCTGCTGCGCCCATGGCCTCAACGCCACCGAGTCCCAGCAGGGCCAGAGCCAGTTCTTCCTCATTCCACCGTCTAAGTCCCTTGCTCAGTATCTTCAATATTTCCACATCAACTTCTAGCACCCACTTCTGCGTGCATGACACCATCAAGCTGATAAATCCTGACACATATGCCCGCCACATAGCCCAATCACAACCCAGTGATATTTTCCCGTCCAGCGCGCCTGCAATAAATCCCAAATGCCGCCCGAGAACCGTTGGTCGCCGCTTTGATGCTGGTGATACTGAATCCACACCCCAAGCAAACGTCCCACAAAGTACTGCAAAGTATGCAAGGGCATAACCTCCCAACATGGCAACCATACCTCCAGGTTCTCTGCCTTCCTGATCCAAACCACGGGTCGATATAAACCAGGAAGGTAAAGTTTCTTTGATCAAGGATTGAACTAAACTCGATCCGCCAGATATCCAAACTAAAGTGGCCCCAAGTGTAGCTGCAATCTTGATGCGTGCCATTGCGGCAGCAAGAGAAACCTGTCCATACCTCGTCCCATGCTTGGTCTTCCTCAATTTCTCCACCCTCTCTCTTGGTAACCCGCAATATGCAATATCTCTAACAGAATACATTAGAAGAGAGAGCACCTCTTCTGTCAGGAACATTACATCTCTGACAGACCGGTGCACACGCAAGTAAAGAATTCCAGGGGCAACAGGAGAAATCCCACCAGACAAATGGGAACCAAAGCCATGACCAAGAAGGGCACCCACACTGCTGTTGCTGTAAGCATGAGAGGAACTTAACCCGAGAGTAGATGTAAAGCAGCTCTTAAGAAGCTGGACCACAGCATCACTGTTGTGGTGGAAGACAGTTTGAGAAGCAGAAAACACCAGGAAGTCACTCCAGCGCTTTACCTTCTGGGCCCACAATGAGGCTAGGATCGGCATGCATGGCCATGGGCAACCAGCAGCTAGGGAGTTCATGGCCGGTCCAATCAGATGGAGGGCACGTTCAGAGGCTCTATCAAGTTTATAAGTTATTGTGAGACTTATGAGGGCTGCCAATGGTAAGGGAAGTGTAGCTGGGGAGCTCCCACCTGCAAGCAATAAATTTAAGGCCTAAAGTGTTAACGTTACAACTATTAGAAGTTTACAGCATGAACTCAAAGCTCCAATTTCCCTAGTCTAAAATTTGTTGGTCAACTGAAATATCGACAGAACACATTCACTTTTTCAATCATGAGTGTACAACTGACAAGTTGGTCAATTGAACTATTAGAAGTTATCATGATTTTTCATATTACAACAATATAAGACTTCTTGAAAAACAGAAACGTTCTTTCACAAAGCTATAGAATATAAAGGACATACCAACTGCGAGGCTAGGGACATCAACACCAGTGGCAGCTAGGATTTTCTTTATTTGCTGCTCAACAAGTAGTAAATTTGCAGCAGGGCTTGGCCAATCAGTTCCATTCATACAAGCTGGCTTCCATATTCCCCGTGTTACTTCAGCTGAAAAATAGCTTACCATGGTTCCCAAAGTCGCTGGAAGATAATCAGCTAGATCTTTCAGTCCTGAGATGAAGCATGCAACAAAGTTAACAAACCTTAACCTACACCTTTCTCACAGGTGAGCTTTCAGTTCGGCTTTTCTATCAATGCATAAGGGGTATTCAACAAACCTGTAGCCAGTTCACGGGGAGATAGTCTTCCATGGGCGCATGCAGTAAGAGCAGCATCAAGTACAAATGGAGTTGCTTCAAGGATATCCCAGGCTGGTACCTTGAGTCTAATACAGGACTCATCAGTTCCCGACGCAGATGAATTACTATTACCTGACGTTGCTGGAGTCAACGGCTGACTACTATTTATTTTTCTAAACATCATGGTCAGGAGTGCATCAACAAGTTGATGAACAGGAGTCCCAGGTACAAGCCCAGACAGGGTAGAGCAAATACATTTTTGATGTTGCTGGTACCAGAGTTTCAGTCTTGGAAAGCAATCCATGGTAATGGTACCTGAAGGGAAGGTGATGAATTTTGAAACTCTTCTGCTTTTTATTCGATCCCTGATTGAATTACCCTTGGATGCTAATCGACAGTTTCGCAGCAACAAGAGGTATTCTGGACCAGTTTGGATTCCCACAGTTGGGTAGTCGCCCATCATGTGTTCAAGAGGTGGATGATCAAATCTCCACAACCTCAATAGAAGTGTAAAAGCATTTGAGAACACTGCGTGGCATGAGAGTTCTTCCCCTGTTGTAGGAGTCCATGAGAAATTGGGAACACTTGAGCCAAAAACTTCACAAATAGGCATCAATGCAGCTGCAAGTAGTGGAACCTAGAAGTGAATGACAAATAACATTAGTTTTTGGAAAACATGAAGGACTCGAGAAACTTTCTTCATTACACAAGAACTTTTGCAATCTTAACTATTTCAATAAGGGATCCAACATACCAATCCCAATAAGGAGAAAATCTGTACAGTATCTATAGATGATATGCCAACCAGAAGGACATTAAAGAATGAAGCATAGCCGATCAAATGGCTATCACTCCCCGAGTAATCTGCAGGAACCGGAGGTGACAGCAATCTTATAATAAAAAGACAGGTGTGCTCCTGCAAAGGACAAAGAATTGAATGAGACTAACATGCAGTAGAGGCTAGCAGAAGGAGGAAGGGAGGTGGAGAAAATAGAAAGAGAGAGCAAGAGAGAGAGAGAGACCCTACCTGTATATTCCATCCACGAAGAGAAGCCCCACAAAGAATGGTAGCAGCAGATATCTTCTCTTCATCTGAACCATTGACTGCAATCTCATATATTTTCTCAATTTCTGCTAAGCTTCCATCAAACCCATGAGCTTAAATTCAGTTGCCATACCACTGGGTAAATTTACAAAAAAGAGCATCTGATATACCTTGCTTCAGGAAAAGAAGGGGGTAACTGAAGGCCAGGTCATGATGCCAAGATAAATTATGGATGCTATAGTCATTATTTGGTACCTAAAGTTATGAGCTAAACAATGATACAAATTAAAAAATCATTGACCCAAAATACATGATTCCCACTTAGAAATCATGTTTATGTAGTGAGACTATCACTGCCTATCAATCACAACCCTGCTTCTTTGTTATGGCTAAACATGGTAGAATCAGAGTACTTTGAAATAAGAAATAAAAAAATAAAAACACACAAAATGTAGCAATGATACAATAGCATACCTAGAAGCTGGAGTGGCAACTAAAGCATTTCCCAGTGATGGAGTTAGAGGTGACCCCTTCATTATTGAAGACCAAGCAGGCACTTGGCCGGGCACATTGCGTATCACTTGGCTGCTGCGTGCACTCACATAGCCTGGCCAAAAATATGCTGATGTGTCTAGGATATTCCGCGCAATACAAGCTTCAACAATCAGATGCCGCAAGTTTCCCGCTGCAAGTACAAAATATTAGGAAAGGCTCATGGAAATATAGATAAAGATATATTTAAGCCCCATAAGAATTAAGGAAAGCATGAGAGCGAGAGACTAATGGGAAGAAAAATAAACAGGACCAAAAAGAGAATTATGGATGTTAAAACAGAACGAAACCCTCTGAAGCATAAGAAGGAAAAAACAATTGATCTTGAAAGCAGAATTAGAGAAAAACCAAAACATAGTGGTAGACAAATGAATACTCAAATCGAGAGCTATTTTATACCTTCTCAAAACTCCATCATAAATCAAATTGCTGGGCTGAAGGAAAAATTAATTTCTTACCACAATTTATTGGCATGTCGTTCACGCTAACAGATTCGTGGTATCCATTACTGACTGTAAGGCCTGATCTGAACATTATTGCCTTGGCTGCAGCTTGATTCACCACTGAACAAACAGACTGAGGTGGAGTCAACAAGGTTTCATAATCACCCAATCGCTGTAAGCAGGTAACTAAATCTTTGCGGCGCTTTCCAGGAGCCTGTTCCTTCCTTTGGTTAGTATGATCCCCCTCCGTTTCCTCCTATCAATTCAGCTTCCTCTTCTTCAATAATATTAGTAACCGCAAGCGTCGTAATACTCAACAACATGCATAAGCAGGTATCAAGACGAGGGACAGGTCCTTCTCTAGGATCCCTTTCCTACAAAACCAATCAAGAGGGAAAATGTGATAAAAGGTCAGTTGGACTCACTATTTTGAGAATTTTCTTCGTAGCACATAACAAGATGTCAATCAATCATTAGATAGGAATTTCCAAATTGGTTCACATCAATTCTTACCCTTTGAACCAGCCGAAGAGCTGAAATCCATAAACCTAAAAATGCATTGTGCCATGTGGTGGCATTAACTGCCTGCAGAGCCTTCACTAAACCTGCAACGATAACTCAAGTCAATATTGCTGGCTAGGAGTACTAGAATCTTATCAGCTCTAGGTATGCATGATAGAAGGATTATGATACAAAGAATTGGCCCGCACCGGTAAGAGATTCGACGGCACTAATTTCAGCTACTTCTGATCCATCCATAGCATCTTCAAGAAACAGATCAATGGGAAGCCAAAAAGCAGATGAACTCACTCCATGAGACTGACAGCCAGAGGACATTAAAGTCCCAGAAGCCAATACTGCATGAAATTCTTGTCGTGAAATTGTTTTGCGTTCCCGAGTCAGAAGTTGACGGGTATCAGATGTCAGCTGTAGAAGACCCTCTGGGTTTATATGTTTCATAGTCCTCAAAACTGACGAGTTGGCCGCAAGCACTTGCAATTTCTGAACGAAACCTCCCCAGTGCAATGGCCTGAAAAGAAGAGGTGATATGTTTGGTATCTACACCAACGGTGCTTTTCAAACTCTGATATGAGATTTTAAACTAGTCAAATTGCATCACACCAGCAATTGGCCAAACTGCTGTTTTCACACTTCTCCCTCACAAACATGGCATGACTAACAGAAAGATGCGCAAGAATAAAAAAAGTAAACAGATATATTAAAAAAGAGAAAAGGTTAAGATCCTTACATATTTCGACGGGCTAAGTACAACATCTTTGAAGTTACTTTGTTTTGCAGAAACTCCACAATTATGTCAATAGCCATTGCAGTATTTGCTTTCTGCAAACCTTCATTTTGCTCACTTCTCGTCTCATTAAAGCAACCATGACCATCTATTTCCATATCTTGTGGCCTGGTAGGCCATCTAGGCTTCTTATCTGGGGCAAGTTCCAGCAAACATTCGTCATCTAAGGATGCATCAAGTAACTGCCATATGATTGAAAAGACAAACTCCACAATAAGAACTCCAGGTTCAGACACTTGAAGGCCGTACTGCCAGGAAAGATGTAGAACATCATCAATGGATTTTATGATCCTGCAATCGCATCAAAAGATATTATTAGAAACTATCACACAAGCATCAGACAGCAAAATGAAGAAATTACTGAGTAGACATAGATGGTGTTGAATGACTTTGGTTGGTTTATGACATTAATTATAAAAATAACTTCTCTGCGATGAACTGGTTCTTTAAAAGGGGCAAATGGGGGAAAAGGAAAGGCAAAAGGGAAAAATAGTTCATCAATACAGAGCATTTCTTCAACAGAGGGACGGGGAATCAGAAAGCATGAGACAGAAAAAACAAAAAAAATTACTAAATAGGCACACATAGTGTTGAAACTTGAAAGAATTTGGTTTATGACATTAAGTTATACAAATAACTTCTCTACGAGTCACTGTTTTTTCAAAGGGGCATGTGGGGGAAATGGAAAGGCAAAAGGGGCAAAAATAGTTCATCAATAAAGAGCATTTCTTTAACAGAGGGAAGGAGGAATCTGAACGCCTCTGTGCAAACTGTCATGTTTAAAATGGAAAGATTACATTCTTGTACCTATTGAGAAACCAAATAAAATACACATTTTGCATTCTTATGTATTGGCAAGAGTGGAAGCACCTAAGACCGCATACAAGATAAAAAGTCAAGGAAGAACAACTAAGCACAATGTTTCATTGTCACGGACTTGTTTGTTTCCAGAAAAGAAGCCTTCAATTAAGATTTTATTGTCAAGACTTTTTGCAATAATGGTATGTAGTCACATAAGCACAAGTTCAAGGTAGGCTTATTGGGAAATAATATTGTACAACAAAAGGAGAAAATTTGAAACTTACTTCTGACTATTTGGTCCATTCAATTGAGAAGCAAATAAAAATGTATGTCTTTTAAGAAGTTCCAAGTAGAGCCTATATGCTGCAGGGTGAAGCTGTCGATTTGGAACAACCCTATATGAAACAAGACAACACTGAATGTGAGTTTTAACATGTAAAAGTACATTTTCATAACAACTGTTGATTAAGCATAATTGTAAGGACATTATATTCTAAGGGAGACCATCCATCACACAAGACAGCACATGCATGAATTTCGTCCACCAACACCAACTCAACGAAGGAACTACGGGCATGAAGACCTTAACTTCCTAAATAATTATTCGTTCAATAACATCTTTCTGAACCATTTTCAAAGCGTTGTCCGCCATATGATGAAGCATAATTCAACCGCAAACTACCAACTATAATTTCACAAAGCCCCAGAATTTTCATTTGAACTTGTACAAAGATTACAACTTTACAAGTAACTCGGACATTTCGCACAAGCAGATCCCCTAGTGCAATCTTAGTTAGGTTAACCAATTCACATAATTTGTCAATCTACCTACCCCTGCACGCACATTTTAGTAACCATTCAAACCGAACAACCATACAGTCGTATATCAAAACTAATCCGATATTTCATCTACTAAAATCAACTTCCCAAGAAAACGTAAATCGTAAATACTTCACAATCTCAGATTCTCTCACTCTCCCGTAACCAGCAAACTAAAAATAGCAACTTTAACACAATAATTTTAATTAAAACATCAAAACCAATGTACTGAGGGAGTGAGAGAGTACTTGGTGGAGAGCAGAGCAAGGACGAGCATGGGGGGGACGATCTTGACCGTCAGTGCCTTCTCGAGGAACTTCCACGTGATGGGCACGTGATTGGCCCAGCAGATGTGGGAGACGAGGAGGTGGGCGAGCTCGACGGAGGGCAGGGACACGGCGGCGGAGGTGAGGCTGGAGCTGAGCTGGACCGCCCAGAGGAGCGGGTCACTGTTCTTGTCCTGGGCGGACTTGGTCAGCTGGAGCACCGAGTCCCACAGCTGACTCGGCGGCGCCTGCTGTACGGACCCGGCCATCGTCGTCGTCGGAGGAGGAAATTAGGGTTGCATTAAAGAGAGGGAGAATCGGAGGTTTTGCTCTATTCGATTGGAATATTTTCGGATTTTGAATTTGAGTAATATTTGGAGTGAGGAAGGAGGAAAGAAAGCGGTAAAGTCAGTTTTGGAAGCAGGTAGTATAACTGTATACGTTTAAGGTAAGAGTTGAGAATTAATTAATTAATACATCCACGCGACGAAGGATCTTGCATAGAAAGTAAATTGTGCTATTTTTTATATTATCAATTTATTTTATAGGGTAACTTTAATTTTTTTTATATGCGTTCCACATCATTTTGTCTGTGTTGTCCACGTTAGGTTTGAAAATTCTTCACATGTGACGGACATGTTGGGAATGAATTTCATACTGATAGGAGGACGGATCTTACATGGGTTTATAAGTAAGTTTGGCTACTCTCCATGTTGCAATTGGTTTTATGGTGAAACTTCAACTTTCTAAAAGGAGTTTCTGCTTAAAATATTTCATGATATATTCACAAAATTTATGTTATGATCAAAACTATTCATATTTTAAATTACTCTGTAAAGAATTTCTCAGCAAAAATATCAATTAAAATCGTTTTGTCGATCAATTATAACAAATAAATAGACAGTCCGTAATGTTTTCACTAAATCCTTTGGTTCATTTATGTAAGCTCTTCCTTCCTTTACTCAAGAGTCTTTATCTAGTTTAAAAGCTAGAGAATGGTCCGGTTTGATTTGATTCTCTTCAAAAGATGTGTCCTTGTCTATTTGTGTTGGTCTAGATTACCGGAAGATGTTATTCCTCACATTCAAACGCTACCTTATAACGTCACCAAACTTTATCTAACCAGGGATATGTGGAAAATCATTTAGTCTTTCATGATGGATTCACAAATCTTAGGTCATTTCCAACCGAGGGCTAGTTAGAGGGTTCGTTTTAGCCCTCTAGTTCTCCAAGATAATAATATTTTAATGAACAGTACATGGTCATATTTGCTTCCATCTCCAACCGAGGGCTATAGGGCTCATTTTAGCCCTGTCACAAAAAATCGTCTCCAACCGAGGGCCAAAGGGCCATAGGGTCAAACATAATTTATTGTTTAAAACCTACAACTTAAATTCAAATCCAACGGCTAGGTGACGTCAACATGAAATAGAAGTTATAGGAAAAAAAATAGAATTTAAAAAAAAAAAAATATGAAACAAATTTTGTAAAATAGAAGTTATAGGAAAAAAATGGAATTAAAAAAAAATATATGAAACCAATTTTGTAAAATAGAAGTTATAGGACAAAAAATGGAATTTAAAAAAATATGAAACAAATTTTGTAAAATAGAAGTTATAGGAAGTTATAGAAAAAAATAGAATTTATAGGAAAAAAAAATTTGTGAAAAAAAAAATAAAAAATAAAAATAACGTCTAACTGACGTCAGCTAGCCATTATATTAAAAAATTTCCATGCTATTTGTGTCAGCTAGCCGTTATATTAAAAAAAATTCATGTTATTTGTGTCGGTTATAACCGACAATTATATTAAAAAAAATTCATGTTATTTGTGTCGGTTATAACCGACAGTATTAAAAAAATTTCCAGCCAGCCCTTTGGCCCTTTCAAATTCTGTGGGGCCCACGAATCCTTTGGCCTAGCCCTCAGTTAGAGACGGTTTTGAGCTATTTTCGGCCTTCTAGCCCTCTGGACCCTTCGGTTGGAGATGACCTTATTAACTTATCAGTAGACCATTTCCGTCACTTGAATGTGATCACCATAGATGGGGTGATGCCAACATAACTGACACTTCTGGTTCTTGTTTGTAGGGCATTAAGGCCATTACGTCGTGGAATCGAGCATCTTACATGTCTCCAACAATTATATTTTCTAGGTGTTGTCATGAGCTTGAAAGCAAATATGCTAAGACAGAGGCTTGGATCGTTCCAAGGCCTGATATAGCATTGTAGCTTATCTTGAAGCTTAAGACTTTAGGATTTAGGGTTTCTAGGACGCTAAGACGAAGGCTTGGATCGTTCCAAGGCCTGATATAGCATTGGAGCTCATCTTGAAGCTTAAGGTTTAGAGTTTAGGGTTTTTAGGTGTGGTCATGAGCTTATAAAGCAAATACACTAAGATGAAAGCTTGGATCTTTCCAAGGCCTAATATAGCATTGCAGCTCAAGCTTACCTCATTACACAACGATGAGACCCATGTTTAAATCATATAGATTTTTTTATTTTTTATTTTTGGTTTTATGCTCTTATTGTAACAGTGTACAAATAAGATCAACATGAAGTTAGGATTACAGCAACGCTAACATGTATATATTGTGCAGGTATGTTGGCACTTGCATGCATCAATATGACATGATGCAACTGTAACATCCCACATCGTTCAGGGGAGCGGATCCTGTAAGCCTTATATGTATATTCTCATCTTTACCTAGCAGGAGGCCTTTTGGGAGCTAACTGCCTTCGGGTTCCGTAGGAACTCCGAAGTTAAGCGAGTTCGCGCAAGAGCAATCCCAGGATGGGTGACCCACTGGGAAGTTCTCGTGTGAGTTCCCAGAAACAAAACCGTGAGGGCGTGGTCGGGGCCTAAAGCAGATAATATCACGCTACGGTAAAGTCGAGCTCGGGATGTGGTGGGGGCCCGAGCTGGGATGTAACACAACTTATTTGCAGTGGCAAGGAAATGTTGAATTGTAAGTCTATAGTTGATTAGGAATAAGTCTTAGTTTAATATGTGTATACACTTGAGTTAAAATACCAAGTGAGAAGTTGTATGGTAGTAAGGCAAGAAATGCCAAGTGTTGTAATCCTAGCAACTAGCTAGATGAAGGGTCAAGATTAGTTTGTAATCAGAAAGCATCCAACTTGGATCCTAACGATAATATTCCACCCGCACGTTTTGTGTGCGAGGTGATAAACTGAGAAAAAGTTAATGAGAATTGGATTGCCTCTTTGTGACTTGCAGAGTGAACTAACATTCCTTTGAGAGCTTTCCATAGTTAATTTCTCCTTTCTTCATTTAATGTTCCATTTTTCTTCAAACCACCAGAACAAAACACAGAAACACAACATGGCCTCAGAGCCAAGTTCGATCATCTGAGCCTGGGCGTAAATCTGTGAATCCACTGAGCTGAATCGAAGCTCGCTCGAAGCTCAGTGAAGGTCGCCGGAGACCCGTTATCACCTGATAAGAGAAATCAACCCATTCGAACCAAATATGTCTAAATATGAATGCTTGGAAGTGAGAACTCCAATTTTATTCGGTGAGAACTACGAGTTCTAGAGAATCAAGATGGTGACAATTTTCAAATCACATGGGTTGTGGAATTTGGTAGAGAAGGAGTTAAAACTTCTGATCTGAAGAAGAAGAAGGTTAAAGGATCATCGGAGGATGATGCTGATGAAGAAATAGACTGTTGTGTTGATGAAAGACGCAAAGCTTTGGGAATCATTCAGAATGCAGTTTCAGATCAAATTTTCTCACGAATTGCTAATGCATAATCAACAAAGATGGCATGGGATTTGTTGAATAGAGACTACCATGGTGGTGATTAGGTAAGGTCTGAGAAATTGCAAAATCTGATATGTGAATTCAAATATGCTAGAATGCGTGATGATGAAACTATGTATGGGTATCTTACTAGGCTAAATACATGATTAATCAGATGAAAACGTTTGGTGAAATTCTATCTAATGAAAGACTTGTACAAAAAGTTCTAATTAGCCTTAGTAAACCATATGATCCCATATGTCTAGTCATTGAGAATACAAAGTGTTTGAAGACTGTAGAATTGCAGGAGGTTGTGGCAATTTTGAAAGCCAAGACCAACGTTTCGATTTGCACAGTGTTGATACCACTGAGAGAGCTTTTGTTTCACTCTCTGTGAATCCAAAGAACAAAACAATGGTGGTGCTCATTCTGGTTCATCCAGATTTCAGAGAATCTAGAATTCTAAAGGCAAGAGATGGGAATCAAAACCCAAGTTTCAGCAGAAATCCCCATGAATACTTATCAGAATATGAATGCATCTCAGTCAATGAGTCAAAAGGTTGCAAAGCCTCAGTGCAAAGTGTGTTCTAAGTACCATTTTGGTCAGTGTAGATACAAAGGGAAACCAAAATGCTTCAATTGTGATAAATTTGGGCATTGGGCTAGAGAATGTATTGTAGCTAAAACAGTGCAAAAGGCAAACAATGCTAATCAAGTGGAGATGACAGGAATTTTGTTTTATGCAAATAACATAGTCACATAACCAAAAGTGAATGGAGAGTGGTACATTGATAGTGGTTATAGCAACCATATGGCAGGAAATGTGGAATTGCTTGTTGATGTGAGAACCAACATAGCTGGCAAAGTTCAAATGCCAACTTGAGACCTTGTGAATGTTGCAGGAATAGGTTCATTGGTGATTGATACAAACAAAGACAGAAAGTATGTTAGTGAAGTAATGTACCTACCTGGTTTAAAGGTAAACTTGCTACGTGTTGGTCAAATAGATGATCATGGATACTTCTTGGTGTTTGGTGGTAGAATGTGCAGTATGTTTGATGGTTCATCATTAGAATGCTTGGTTGTGAAAGTGAAGAAGAAGAAAGTGAATAGGTGATATCAATTAACTTTATTATCTAAGAATCAGGTGGCCTTGAAAACTAGGTGTCACTCACTCTACTGAGACTTGGCACAAGAGACTTAGGCACTTACACTTTGGTGGTCTCAAACAATTGGGAGACAAGGAAATGGTACATGGTTTACCTCAGCTTGAAGATTACAATGAAGTTTGGGAAGGTTGCCAATTTGGAAAACAACACAGAGAAGAGTTTCCAAGAAATCAAGTGCAAAAAGCAACTGCTCCACTTGAACTAATTCATGTTGATTTGTGTGGACCTATGAAGAATGATTCAATTACTAGAAATAAGTATTTCATGCTGTTAATAGATGATCTCACCAGAATGACTTGCATCTATTTTCTAAGATGCAAGTATGAAGCATTTAATTGTTTTAAAAAATTCACAGCTATGGCAGAATTACAAAGTGGATTCAAGGTTAAGTGCTTAAGAAGTGATAGAGGAGGGGAGTTCAAGTATCTGAATTCGACCTATTAAGTGAAAAAAAAGGAATAAAAAGACAGTTCACTATATACTCCACAACAAACTGGAGTAGTGGAGAGGAAGAACAAAAATGTGATTGAGATGGTTGAATCCATGTTGCATGAGAAGATGATGCCATACTTTCTCTGGGTAGAAGTAGTTCATACATCAGTGTACATTCTAAACAGATGTCCCACAAGGGATTTAAACAACATCACACCTTTTGAAGCTTATTCTGGGAGGAAACCAGGAATAACATACCTGAAAGTATTTGATTCACTATGCTATGTTCATGTTCCTAGTGAACACAGACATAAGTTGGAGCCTAAAAGTTTCAAAGGAATATTTGTGGGATATGCAACCTATGAAAATGGGTATAGGGTATTTGATCCACTATCCAAGAAATCAGTCTTGTCAAGAGACATTGTATTTGATGAAGAAGTTGCCTGGAACTGGGAAGAGAACTCAGAGTCATTTTCTTTCAATATTGGAAGCTTTATTTATGGTGACATAAGCACAGGAAGAAGTGACAGAATGGTGTTGTCTCCTACATCATTTGTATTATCTCCATCTATGAGAATTCTTAGTATTGAAGACTCTGAAGTTCAATCCAAGACACTTATCTCAGGTGAAGCTGTAAGCATGTTAAAATTAAGTGAAGGGCACAATCAAGCATTTGACTATACACCATTGAAATGGAAGAATCTGAATAAAGTGTTGGCTCAATGTAATATGTGCATCATGGACCTAGAAAAGTATGAGGATGCTAAACAAGATGAGTCTTGGTCAAAAGCAATGGATGATGAGTTGTTCATGATTGAAAAGAATGGTACCTGGAAGCTTGTTGACAGACCAACTGAGAAACCTGTTGTAGGAGTTAAATGGGTCTACAAAACCAAGTTAAACCTTGATGGTTTAGTGTTGAAAAACAAAGCAAGGCAAGTTGCAAATGGTTATGCACAAAAGCCTGGTTTGGACTACAATGAAACCTATGCACCAGTTGCTAGGTTGGACACTATTAGAACCTTAATAGCTTTGGCTGCACAAAAGAGTTGGAAATTGTACCAGTTACATGTGAAATCTGCTTTCCTGAATGGAGTATTACAAGAAAAGGTCTATGTTGAGCAACATGAAGGTTTTGTAGTCAGATGCAAGGAAGAAAATGTGTACAAGCTTTACAAGGCTGTTTATGGTCTAAAACAAGCTCCAAGAGCCTAGTATGGAAAGATTGATAATTATTTCTCACAGTGTGGTTTCGAGAAGAGTTTAAGTGAACCAACTCTGTATATAAAGGCAAGGGAGAATATGTCTTGATTGTTTCTATCTATGTGGACGATATAGTCTACACTGGCAGTTGCAAATCAATGCTAGAAGAGTTCAAGGAAGATATGAAAATGAAGTATGAGATGACATATTTAGGACTTCTTCATCACTTTCTTGAGATGAGAGTGATTCAAACTGACTCTAGCATCTTCATTCATTAGAAGAAGTATGCAAGCTCCTTACTGAGTAAGTATGGATTAAATGAAGCAAAGACTGTCACAACTCCTCTTGTAGCTACTGAGAAGCTGTCTAAAGATGATGGAAGTGGATCTACGAGTGAGGAAATGTATAGGAGTATTATGGGAAACCTTCTATATCTCACTGCTACAAGGCCGGACATAATGTATGCAGCAAGTCGATTGGCAAGATTTATGCATTGTCCTACTAATAGACACTATGGAACTGCAAAGAGGGTACTTAGATACATCAAGGGAACCCTGGATTATGGCCTAGGAGTATGTGAAATGAAGAAAAGCTTGTTTAATTGGCTTCTGCGATAGTGATTGGGGCGGTTCATTGGAGGACATCAAGAGCACATCAGGATATGCATTCTTATTTGGTAGTGGTGTATTCTCTTGGGCTTTAATCAAGCAAAACTGTGTTGCACTTAACTACAGAGGCTGAATACATAAGTGCATCAGAAGCCACAACTCAAGCAATATGGTTGAGGTTTGTTTTGGAAGACTTTGGAGAATTACAAACTGAAGCTACTCCTTTTCACCGTGATAACACTTCTGCCATTGCAATTACTAAGAATTCTGTGTTTCATCAGAAGACCAAGCACATTGACAAGAGGTATCATTTTATCAAAAATGCATTGCAGGAAGGCATCATTGATCTGATCTATTGTCCCACAGAAGAGCAATTGGCAAATATCTTCACAAAGCCTTTCGCAAATGATCGATTTAATCTTCTCAAAACCAAACTTGGAGTGACATCAGCTTTAGACTTAAAGGGGAGTGTTGAATTGTAAGTCTACAGCCGATTAGGAATAAGTCTTAGTTTAATATGTGTATGCACTTGAGTTAAAATACCAAGTAAGAAGTTGTATGGTAGTAAGGCAAGACATGCCAAGTGTTGTAATCCTAGCAACTAGCTAGATGAAGGGTCAAGATTAGTTTGTAATCAGAAAGCATCCAACTTGGATCCTAACGATAATATTCCACCCGCACGTTTTGTGTGTGAGGTGATAGACTGAGAAAAAGTTAATGAGAATTGGATTGCCTCTCTGTGACTTGCAGAGTGAAGCAACATTCCTTTGAGAGCTCACCATTGTTAATTTCTTCTTTCTTTATTTCATCTTCCATTCTTCTTCAAACTACCAGAACAAAACACAGAAACACAACAGGAAGCACACCTACAGAGGTTGAGGAGCAAAAGGAGTAATCCGTCCGAGAAGGGCTTGCGTCTGATTAGCTAGTTGATGAGGCGGAGAGATGATGAATTGAAGGGAAGGGAGTCTTCTACTCTCAATACTCGATATGTGTTAGCCTTGAATAGGGAATGGCATGCACAAGAACGATAATATGAGAGTAGGGACATCTCTATTTGTATGTGATTAGGTTCATTCCATCTTAGCCTATTATTGGAAGGAAATATCAACTTAATCACAATCATGTCAGTTAGTGTCCCACCATGATATCAATTTATGTTTGCCTTAATACGGTTTTCCATCAGTTAGTTGCATTAGGGTTTAAGACTTCACGATTCTTACTCCATTAGATTTCTACAAAATTACTTGTCAATCAAGTAATCTCAAGAAAATCACGTTGACATTCACAATATGATCTCATTGATTTCACAACGAGATCTTACACATATGACATAGTAATCACTATTCGAGCTCCAAACAAGACGTCATGCATTTTTAGTGCTTTTTCACTACACCACAAGAATAAAACAAAGATTAGAATCCGTTTGAAGAATTTAAAAGAAAAACCTTTAGAAGTTTTTTGTGCCTTGTATTTTGTCTAATTCAATGCATAAACAAGATGTCCACATAATAAATATGAAACAGTTAAGGTTCTACTATAAAATTAATTGAAATATGGAACATAGTTTAACTACTTATAAGCACATATGAGGTCCGTCATTTCCCCAATGTGGGATTTACTGTCAACATGTTTTCTCAGGTGTCGCGAATTTTCAAGCCTAGTATGTGGACAACACAAATCAGGTGACATAGAGCATGTGTGATCGGTGGGCTTCACACATGGCCAACCTACTCCCAATGACAATATAAAAAGTAACCTAACTACTTAGAAGTACATACAAGATCCCTTCGTGAAATCCACTCTCAACAAAACATGCTATTTTACATACAAATTTTATCTCTGCCATTCGATTCATCATTTCCTTGTTTTTATATGCAAATATTGTCTTTTGTGTATGGATTTTTGGTCGACTTTATCAAAGTCCTTTTGACAAACTAAAGAGTGACAAATGATCAACAACAAGAGAGAGTGTTCATATTAATCTCCATGTAATGGCCAAGAAATATCCAATTGGCAATTACAATGTTCCACGTCATACCCTAAAAGGGTAATGGCCAAGAAATATCCAATTGGCAAATACAATGTTCCACGTCATATCCTAAAAAGGCAATGATCCGATCAAAATTTTAAACTAAATTTGCAAGTCAAATAATGTGTCATCAATAAAAAATAAACGCATTAACCAAAGCTAGTAATAATTCAATTATCAACAAGCACATTATAAGTGTTAAGCCAACATAACAAATTTGGTTTAAAAAATAAGAAATTGTTATTTTATTTTATTTTTCTTATCATCGGAGAAAAATCCAGAAATTTTAATATGAATAGTCTGCTTACTAGTTGGTAACATAATTGTCTTTTTATTTTCACATGTAAGTAGCTTTGATAACACCTTACGGATTTGTTTAATTTTTTTTTTAAAAACATTTTTAATCATCTAAAAGCACTTCTCTAAGTACTTTTATAATTGTACAGCTTTTTTTCCTTCAAACAATACTTGTATTAAAAATGGTTAAAGACGAACATCAACATTGACATCTAACATCAACGACCGATGTATACTATGATCTTGACCTAGTTATTATCTCTATTTTTTAGTTGGCTGGTAGACAATTTTAATTTGTTGATTAAGTAATTAAATAAAATTTGAGTTTAAAGTTGAGAAGAAACCATCCCTATTTAATGTTAAGCCAACATTCAAGAAAACGCACAACTTTCCCGGTTCGACCCCAAACATTCTTGCTTTCTTAGATTTCAAATGGATCTTCACAAAAATTCAAGAGCCGTTCTGGGTTGTTTTCTGATTCTCTCGGCATTTTTTTCCAATGCGTCGGCGAACTTCGTGTTCTCCGTTAGCCACAAGTTCAACGGCCGTGACGGGCGGTCGTTGAGCGAGCTCAAGGCCCATGATTCCCGCCGTCACGGCCGGATTCTTGCCGGCTCTGCTTCTGCTGTGGATGTACAGCTGGGCGGTGATGGCCGTCCGTCCGGCACCGGACTGTACTTCGCCAAGCTCGGGATTGGGACGCCGTCCAAGGACTATTTTGTCCTGGTGGATACAGGGAGTGACATCATGTGGGTCAATTGCATCACCTGCATAACCTGTCCCAAGAAAAATGACATTGGTGTGAAGCTCACATTGTATGATCCGAAAGGCTCTTCGAGTTCGAATGCTATTACTTGTGATCAGGATTTTTGCACGTCGCAATTCAAAGATCAACCTCCAGCCTGCCAACCGGGCATGCCCTGCTCGTACGACATGACTTATGGTGACGGAAGTGAGACGGTGGGATACTTTGTGAAGGATAATGTTCAATTTGATAAGGGGACTGATGGCAGTGTTGTGTTTGGTTGCGGAACTGCGCAATCCGGTCAGATAAGTGAGTCATCCAGCGCGCTTGATGGGATTATTGGATTCGGGCAGGCGAATTCGTCTGTGTTTTCCCAGCTGGCTGCTTCCGGGAAGGTGAAGAAACAATTTGCACATTGTTTGGACAATGTTCGCGGAGGCGGGATTTTCGCCATTGGCGAAGTGGTGGAGCCAAAGGTGAACAACACAACGCCGTTGGTGCCGGGGCAGGCGCATTACAATGTTGTACTGGAGGCAATTGAGGTAGGAGGTGAAGTCGTGCAGCTTGCCTCTCATGTTTTCGACACAGGGTCAATCACAGGGACGATCATCGACAGCGGAACAACCCTGGCCTATCTCCCACAGGAGGTTTTCGACCCTATGATGCAGAAGATCTTAGCCACGCAGCCTGACTTGCAACTTCGCACAGTTGACGACCACCTCACATGCTTCGAATTTTCCAACAATGTAGACGATGGATTTCCATTGGTGAAGTTCAACTTCAATAATTCGGCTTCCCTGACGGTTTATCCCCATGACTATCTGTTCCAGCTGAAGGGAGATGTGTGGTGTTCCGGCTGGCAGAGCAGCGGGATGAAATCGGAAAGCGGAGACTCCCTGACGCTTCTCGGAGATTTGGTGCTGTCGAACAAGCTGGTGATATATGATGTGGAGAATCAGATGATTGGATGGACCGATTACAACTGCTCATCAAGCATCAAAGTGAGGAATGAGAAGACTGGAGCAATAGATACAATTGGTGCTCACAATCTTTCTTCAGCTTCAGTTTTTACAGTTGGGAGATTATTATTGACGTTCTTCTTGTTAATTTCTGCTGTGTTTTAGAGTATGTTTTCATCATAAATTTCATCAATGAAATTGTGGATTTTACATCCATATATGTTACGCTGTTGGAATTTTCTGTGTGTATTTGTTGACTGTTATACAAATTGTTCTTCCACAATGCCTTGCGTTTTAAGTTTCCTGCATGGTAGAATGTATTTGGTAAGGAATGTCTGCAGTAACTCAAATGGCACATAACCGTACGTGTTCGGTTAGAGATGTCAAGGAATTTGACACATCAGGTCATATACCATGAACATCCTTCTGAATTACACAAGGCTAAAAGCACTAGCAGTTATTTCTAAACCTAGAAATAATCTCTCACTTTTTTCTTTTCTTTTCAATTCGTTCTTTCCTTTTTTTTTGGTTGTCTACAGAGAAAATGTCTAGAAACAGACCCCTTACCCACTGTGAGATTTACTCTCAACACATTCTCTTACGTGTAATGAATTTTTAAGTCTAGCACATGAACAACACAACCAGAGGACGTGAAGCACATGTGTCGTTGGGCTTCATACGTGCGTTAACCTGCTTTGATATTATGAAGAAGTTGATGTTCCACTATAAATCGAATTGGCAATATAAGATGTAACTCAACTGTTTATAAACACATGCGAGGTCTGCCATTCCCTCGATGTGAGGCTTACTCTCTGCAAAACATGATAATTTTGCATACAGAAGTTCATCTCTGTCATTGGATTCACCATTTTCTTGTTTTAGACGCAAATATTATCTTTTCTGAATTCATATGGATTTTGGTCAAGTCCTTTTGACATTAAAAAACGTTGCCGGCCAAATAAAGAGTATCACACAAACTAAAGAACGTGACAAATGATTAACAACAAGGGAGTGAGAGAGAGTTTGTTTGTAATAAACCAATCAAATTATTATTTTATTTTAGAAAATTTTACATAAGTATTATCTAAACTTGCAAGTATATGCGCAAATACCACATAAATTTTAATTATTATCATCAATTGCCTTTCTAGGGCTTGATGAAATCAATTTGTCCGAAGGCAAAAGGTAATTTTTTTTATAGGGGCGTTGGAGTCAAGTCATGAAAAGGACTGAAAAAGTTGATTTCGGGTTTGATTTTGACAAGTGTTGTTGAAGAATTGAAGTGAAAAGTATGCAACTTACAATGAAGTTTCAAGATTTTTTTTATAGGTCAACAAGTGGGTATGTGGTTTACCTTAATTTATTCAAATATTAATTTTCAAACTCTCATGGAGGGACTTGTCGAACTAGATCTGTACAAATCCCCAAATTTGGTGCCATATTGACTCATGCAGTATTATTTTGGAGTCAATCTAATCCTAGTCAGTCCCATAACACACCTCGATCGGAGTTGAGGCATGCTGGCTGACACTCGAAGGTGACGTAGCCAAAAGGTAAGTGATGTATAAAATATGGAAAAATTTAAACCGAAGCTAGAATTTATTTAAGCTAATAAAGAGAGTGCAGCAGTAGTGGGAAGAACCCATAAAATATAAGTAGTCAGAGCCTAGATAACAGTACGACATAAGTAGAGCAGTCGAATCTAGTTAAGGTCTTACACAACCGGAAATAAGCTCCTACATTTATTTGGGAGAATGTCATAATCGCCAAAGATCCCTCGTACACCACAGATGATTCAGCTAACTAAGTCCTGGAGGGCGAAAAATAGAAGGTGTGAGTGGGCAAAAACAAAGGTTTATGAAACACATTTATTTTCTGAACATACTAACCCCTTACCATAAAACAAGTATAGTTTCCAGAAAATCATACTACGTATAAGTATGATATCAAAGGTAATTCAACAATAATTCAAGAAATGCAACAAATCATAATATCTCAACTGTGGCATAAGAAAATCAAGTGCTCATCAATCTATGCTAACACACAGGTTCATGCAGAGGAATTCTAACATGGACAGGACTAGATGTAATCATAATATACGCTCTAGTACTACAATCACGTGAAGACTGGCACTAGGCGCATCACATACGAGTCCTAGTTGCCTATTGCAACCTAGGAAATGACTGGCACCTACAATGGATCCAAAAATGAGTGCGCGGTGCGATGTGAACATACACGTGAAGCCTAGCCCTAGCCCGAGGCGAATACTACACTAGTGCAAGCATGCATGATGAGCAGGTAAAATGTATATGAACATGCCATGACAATTTATAAATCTCAACAATATAATAGCACTTTTAAAATGAAATAAAACATGGCATGATAAGCATAATATTAATCCAAAGTATTTGTGGAAACCATAAAACTTTACATATAATATAAATATATATATATATATAAACAAACAGCCACTCGCTGATACGTAGTACGGATCATAGCCTCGTAGCCTTACTTGACCTCGTACCTCCTCAGGATAATTCTCTCCTATATGTAAAGAACTATATATAGTAATTAATTAATTAAAACGTACACGAAAAGGCTAGAAAAATCCCTCATAGTTTGCTCAAATTGAGGGTTTAAATATATGAAAACATTCTACTCAACATCACAAACCCATATACATCGACCATGCGCCTCTGCGAAGCTGCATGCACCCTCACGCGTTGCTAGTTTGCTGCCACACGCGCAGGTCCGTTAAGTCTAACGGTGTTACCTTAACAGCTTGAGAATATTCGTCAACTTTAACAGAATATTCTCCTTCTTCTCTAATTTTCCAGTCACCGTCACCCCCGCCGTCTAATTAGCCAGAATCTGGAAAAGTTGGCCGGATTTTTGTAAAAACTTCATATCTTCCTCATTTCTCAACCATTGTCTATGTACTTTATATGGAAATGAAGCTTGGGAAGAAAAGAACAAGTTTGTACCTTTTGAAAGTCCAAAAAGTGGACAAAAATGGATTAAAAATGCCTCGAAGGTCTCGTCCCTAATTCCAACGTCTCAAAGTCGTGTGTCTACATGTTGGCACGTTGGCATGACTTCAAACTTAGGCTAGAGACCTTAGGAAGTTATTAGTTGCTTCTAAACCTTCCAAAACCTTGTAACTCGAATGGAAAGTCGTCGGAGAACCTACACCCGAATCGGAGCTCCGAGTTGGAAGCTTAAAACTCAGCTATTTTTTAATCGGCTTGTACAAATGGACTCGTGGAGATGAGAGGGATACGATGGTGGTGATTTGAAGTTTGATCTATGTTTGATTATGGTGTTTGTGTTGCAGAGAAAAGAAAGAGATACGGCGTGAAAAAGAGAGTTTCTAATTGGTGAGAAAAATAAGGAAGAAAATTGATTGGTTGGTGAGATAAGGTCACCAATAAGGGATCTGTTTTTAAAGTGGGAAAGCGTCCAATTTGCACAATTTAAAACTATAAACTATCTAACTCATCCTATCTAAAACATAATTCACTAACATTGATTAATTCGCATACACGTGTACAATTTTATCTGTTGTTAATATACTTTAACTAAACGTAACTTCTTCATTACAAATTCGATTCAGGTCTAACTCACGCTCACACAGTTCGTAACAATGAGTACTATTTAATTACAATAAAAGAAAAAATAATTTAAAAGTCAAACAACAACGTCCACTTTGCATTCCACGTTGCCAACAAGGGTATAATTGTTATTTTACATACTTAGTAAGGAAATAACATGGAAAATTAGGGATGGGTCGTCACAAGTCAGTCCCATAAAGTTAATTGACAAAAATATCTATGCAAGTGACATGTTTTAACAACAAAATGGAGGAAAAGTAACTTAGGTTTAAGTCGTAAAAAATAAAACTTGAAAGTTTAGGTGATATTATCTCACATGCTTACAAATTTAGGTGGTACTTGCTCAAAAAACTCTTTATCTTATTTTGGAAACTAATAGTGGCACTCTTTATAAGTGTATTTTTCTTTCTAATTATATAAATTTTGGAAAGCAAAATGACTTTTTTGAAATACCAATAACAATCCTCTTTATTTTTCTTATTATTGGAAAAAGAGTTTTTAAAGTTTTAAATTTAGACATTTTAATATCAATAGTCTAGTTACTAGTCGGCAACATAATTTCCTTTTTATTTTCACATGTATGCAGCTTTGATAACACCTTAAAGATTGGTAAAACAATATTTTTATTAAAAGCGTTTTTAATCATTTAAAAACACATTATGTTTTATAAATTTTTTTTTATCTACACGATACTTATATATTAATATTAATTAAAGACAAATTGGTACATCAACGTGAACGGTTAGTGTGTTGAACAACCAATCGGTGTACATATATATATATTATTTATGAACAAACGATATTATTTATATTAATAAAGATGACGATGGATTTAGCCTCATAATAACAAAACAATAATGTGCTTTAAATTCATTTTTGACGATGATCGAACATAAGATCTCTTACTTACCGATAAAGAGAAATACCAACATACTAAGTAACAATTCCTTATATATTTATATATGATCTTGACTTATTACCTCTCTTTTTTAGTTGGGTGGTTGACAATTTTAATTTGTAGGTTAAGTAATTAATTAATTAACATTTGAGTTTAAAGTTGAGAAGAACTCATTCCTAATTAGTGTTAAGCCAACGTTCAAGAAAACGCGCAACTCTCTCGGTCCCAACTTCCCAAGTCTCTCTTCTTCCTCTCCCTCCCTCTCTCTCTCTCTCTCTCTCTCTACACATGCCTTTCCCTCCTCCCTCGCCGACGTCCTTGTTCCTTCCCCCACCCAACTCGCCCATGAATTCTCCACAAATCCCACCTCTCTAAATCCCCAAAATCCAATCCAGGAATCGTTTTCGAATCCGGATTTTCTCCCCAAAAGAAGCTTCTTTCCCTGCGGGGTCCAAATAATCCAGATCTCAGAAGCTTCAAATTTTCGGACCACCAATCCAAACTCCAAATATTGAATCTTTGGATTGGTTTCAATCTCGATTCCGACCCCAAAGATTCCTGCTTTCTTTAATTTCATATGGATCTTCACATAAATCCAAGAGCCGTTCTGGGTTGTTTTCTGATTTTCTCCACATTTTTTCCAGATGCGTCGGCAAATTTCGTGCTCTCCGTCAGCCACAAGTTCAACGGCCGTGACGGGCGGTCGTTGAGCGAGCTCAAAGCCCACGATTCCCTCCGCCGCGGCCGGATTCTCGCCGGCTCTGCTTCTGCGGTGGATGTACAGCTGGGCGGCAATGGCCGTCCGTCAGAGACCGGATTATACTTTGCCAAGCTCGGGATTGGGTCGCCGTCCAAGGACTATTTTGTCCAGGTGGATACAGGGAGTGACATCCTGTGGGTCAATTGCATCGACTGCACAAACTGTCCAAAGAAAAGTGATATTGGCGTGAAGCTCACATTGTATGATCCGAAAGGCTCTTCGAGTTCGAATGCTGTTACTTGTAATCAGGAGTTTTGCACGTCAAAATACAACGGTCAGCTTCCGGGCTGCCGGCCGGACTTGCTCTGCCAATACGACGTGACTTATGGCGACGGAAGTGCGACGGCAGGATACTTTGTGAAGGACACTATTCAATTTGATAAGGGGACTAATGGCAGTGTTGTGTTTGGTTGCGGAGCTAAGCAATCAGGGCAGCTGGGCAAGTCATCCGAGGCGCTTGATGGGATTCTAGGATTCGGGCAGGCGAATTCGTCTGTGTTTTCCCAGCTGGCTGCTTCCGGGAAGGTGAAGAAACAATTTGCACATTGTTTGGACAATGTTGGCGGAGGCGGGATATTCGCCATTGGCGAAGTTGTGGAGCCAAAAGTGAAGAACAGAACTCCGTTGGTGCAGGGGCAGGCGCATTACAATGTTGTAATGGAGGCAATTGAGGTGGGAGGTGATGTCCTGCAGCTCGCCTCTGATGCTTTCGACACGGGGTCAAACGCAGGGACGATCATCGACAGCGGAACAACCCTAGGCTATCTCCCGGAGGAGGTTTTCGACGCAGTGATGAAGAAGATTTTAGCCAAGCAACCAGACTTGAAATTGCACACAGTTGACGACCAGTTCACATGCTTCCAATTTTCCAACAATGTAGACAAGGGATTTCCATTGGTGAAGTTCCACTTCAAGAATTCGGCTTCCCTGACGGTTTATCCCCATGACTATCTGTTCCAGCTGAAGGAAGATGTGTGGTGTTCCGGCTGGCAGAGCAGCGGGTTGAAATCGAAAAGCGGAGACTCCATGACGCTTCTTGGTGATTTGGTGCTGTCGAACAAGCTGGTGATTTATGATCTGGAGAATCAGATGATCGGATGGGCCGACCACAACTGCTCATCAAGCATCAAGGTGCGGAATGAGAAGACAGGAGGGGTAGATACAATTGGTGCTCACAATCTTTCTTCAGCTTCCACTTCTACAACTGGGAGATTATTATTGACATTCTTCTTGTTAATATCTGCTGTGTTTTAGATTTTTACTGCAACAAAGTGGCCAGCATTCATTCTTTTTTGTTGCATCATAAATTTTATCAATGAAATTGTGGGATTTTACATCCATATATGTTAAAACACTGTTGGAATTTTCTGTGTGTATTTGTTTAATGTTATACAATTTGTACTCGCCGCAGTACCTTGCGCTTTAAGTTTCCCATATGGCACATGGCAGTACGTGTTTGGCTGGGGATGTCATCGTAGTAACGTGGCATCCCTTTTTACTTAATTGCACCACTTTAAGAAGTCAAGGAATTTAACACATCAGGTCATATACCATGCTAGGGGGGGGGGGGGGAGGGAGAGAGAGAGAGACAGAGAGAGAGAGAGTTGAGTTTTTGCTACAACTTTCACATAGAAAAGGAGAGAATTACAAAGCAAAAGAATTGAATTTTCATTCGATCAATCAAAACAGTAAGTACTACAACTTTCACATTACAAGCCAACGTGGACATCGACATCTTTTTGAATTACAAAAGGCTAAAAACACTAGCAGTTATTTCTAAATCTAGAAATAGTCTCTCCTCACATTTTTTGTTTCTTTTCAATTCGTTCTTTCCATTTTTTCCTTGTCTAAAGAGAAAATGTTTAGAAAGTTCACTTACTATAGCCTTTGCTTCACCCGCCTGCCATGGATGTCACTGCCATCGGGAATAGTTTCATTCCCTTGCCTGCATAAGGTTGCAGAATGCTCATTAACACTAGCTACGTATTCCAAGAGATCGGTCAGAACGGACGGGCAGCTTTCCTTCAAGTGTTTGTAACCATCTGTTTGCATAACACCTGCAAAACAAAAACAGTATAACGAAGTCTCAATTAATGAGTTACATAGCATTTCTATTCAGAACCTAATGATTAAACAAAGACTACACAAGGACCAAAACGACATGAGAAGTAATACGAAAACATAAATTACATTTAATACCCTACTTTTACCAACCATTTTCAAAAGCTTACGTATGAATTCCACATCTAAAATAGTTAACGAATGAAGAATATTAATTTCTCCTACCAATTATCACCCACATATAACCAAATTATCATCCATAATCATCATCAACAATTCTACTTTCCAGAGTTTTGTGAAATAAAGCCTCATAGAGAAAAGGGTTACCTAATAGATTTCCGGGAGTTGCAATGAATCTGAGACACACAGGTTTCAGCTGGGAGCAGTGATGTTGTTCTGCCAAAGCTAATGTCGTTGCCACATTGTTTATAGCGACATCCTGGCAAAGATTTGCCTCACACATGAACCTGAGCCTGTCTAAGCCATAGCGATCTGCTGCTGCAAGCAGATGCTGAGCCATCAAAGTGGAAGCCCCATTCGAGTTGATTCCAGTAAGCTCTTCTATGCCAGGCAGTGAATCCCAGTATATAAAATGAAGTAACGCCTGCACACGGACAAAATGAATCCCAAATTGGGATTTGTCCATGAAAACGAATCTTATTACTTCTTGCTAGGCCACATTATACCACTTAATACCAAACGACAAAAAATCACTACTGCAATACATATCAGAGTACCGACATCAATGATGCAATCTGCTAGTGACATTGCAGCTAAAGTAACTATGAGATCAAAGTCATGGATACCAAACAAATACCGTAACCAACTTATAACGTTAAGTGCAAAAGTTTATCAGCATCAGTAACCAAGGAAAAGAGGACATGCAACAAACCTTGAAGACTGGAGCCTCTATGTCCTCAACTTTTATGCAACGAGTGTTCTGATCTTTCATGGGACCAAATAGTTGGGCCCGGAATACAGGTGATCGAGCTGCTAGTACCAACTTGTGAGCACAGAAAATTTCCTCGTCAACTTCGAAACTAACATCAGTTCCCTTTCCGGTTTCCAGTAGCTTGCCAAACTGATGGCCCATGCTGGATGGCGGTATCGGTATAGAGTAAATTTTCGGTCCCTGTGTATGTGACTTGACAACACCAACCATACAGTTAACTGATAGGCAGTCATCTTTAAGGTAGTCCGATGTCTCCAGAGAAGTTCTTTTGAAAAAACGCTTGTAACCCCTGCAGCATATAAAGCAATACACTTTCATCACACAAGAAAGAAAGAACTCAAAAGCAAGAAACAAGCAAAATACACAATCAATCAAAAACCCGAAAAAATTCGGCAACCCACCACATGCTTCCGCGATACTTGAGCGTGTAAGGGCCGCTATCCAATGTCCTCCCGAAATGGCTATGCACCTTGTGCCTCTCGTTCCCGCTCTGATCCAAAAGCGTCAATTCGAACAGCGCTCTCACATCGGTTCCTTCGCTGGCGAGCGCGATGAAGAGCGAGACGTAGGCGGCATTGTCCTCAACGCTCTTGCCGTCCGGGTAGAAATAGATAGCCCACGAAAACCCACCGACATTAAACGTATCGGAAGCTATGTACTTCCCAATCCCAATCCCCTTGGACAGCGAATAGCCGTTGATCTTGAAATGGTGGGTCCCGTTGACGGTCTCGGTGATCGACGTCGACGCAGTGGTGGTCGGAGGCGGCGAAGAGGCTGGGGAAGACGAAGAGGACAAGGGCCTGGAGGTTTCTCTGAGAACCTTACCCATCACCCAAATGAATTACTTGGATTTGGGATCTAGGGTTTAATCGGAAACGTGGAATTCGGATAAAATTGGACGGGGGAAATGAGGAAGTTAGGACATTTGTATAGAGAAAGATTCAATCTTTTCCCGAAGATTTTCTCGGGAAAGTGATGGAGAATCTAGGGTTTCGTTTCTCGAAGGTGAATTTGCAGGGCTTCACAATGAGAACGAAGAGAGAGAGAGAGAGAGAATGGGAAGTGGAAGACGATGACTCGTGAAGGTGTTTTTTTATAGTTGGATTTTTCTGACATGTGAATTATTGACGGGGAAAAGCAGAAAGAGGCACTTGCGGACCTACGTAATCGTGACCTACTCGCGCTCCTATTAACCCACGTAACAAATAAAATTTTAATCATAAACCGTACAATTTTTTTTTTTTAAGTAACGTTAGAAAAACTAAATTTGTAAAATAAAATTTTGAAAACTAAAAAATCATAAAAGTTGATAATTAATTTATACTTAAACGTTTTAAAAAAAAAACATTTGATAAACGTACTCATTACAATGGGTGACACATTAATTAGTTTGCAAATTTTGTCTCATAGTATTAACCTTTTTTTCTTTTTTATGCTTCCCCAAATTAAATTTGTTTTGTTGCAAAGAAATTATAGCAATAGTCTCTCAATTTTAACTTAATTGAAGTAATGGTCATTCAACTAAAAATTCATGACATATAATCCCTTAACTCCTCAAAGCGTGCATCTATGATCATTTTCGTCAACTCTATTAGAGCTTTAATAAAATACACATATTCATATAAATTATATATGACCGTCAAATAATAGTTATATTAAATTTAAGCCTTGTTTTATTAACACCTCACGTTTTTGTTGACTACACCCCATATACTTAATACACCCCACATTTATTTTTTAAATTAAAAAATTTCTTAACACACCCCCCCGTATTTTTCAATACTACCCTCACACCTTATATCTCATACACCCCACACCTCACACACCCCACAATCATCAACTAATTAACCACACATCAAACTCTTCATCTCTTTCAAACAAAAGAATAATCCACATTTTAAAAACAAGAAAGATGAATTAAATTGTTGTATAAAATCTCCATCTTGTCATTTGATTTATAAACATCCGTCAAATTTTCTTGAACAATCACGTTGGATTCTAAGAAGCCTGATGGACAAATGATGGGAACTGTTCTTATAAGGTCATGTCAGTTCCAACCAGCCAATAAACATTGAATTTCTTTATCATCAAACAACCACAAGAATATTACATTTAATTACATCTTAAAATTTTCAACATTCTCTAGTTTTCTTCCTATTTCTTGGATTCCAATTAGAGCAGGGCTTTGCAAAAAGTCAAATTTTTATTCCATTATTTAAATAATTTCTTGAATGTGAAAACCAACAAATGAACGAGGAGCAAAACTTTATTTTTTTGTTCCGTTCATCAAAAGATATATTTTCATCAACTTATTTGTGTTTTTAGGGTTTTGTTCTATAATGGAGAGTGAGAGCAGCTATGAGGGCTCGAATAGTCATTTCATATTAGAGTTACAAGTTGTTTAATATTACATTTTTAAGTGAGGTGTATTAACATGTAGGATATTAATAAATAAATAAAAACTCCCTAAATTTAAATATATGCATTTAGCCAGTTCCTACAATTTGTTATTAATTTTTCATTTATTTGTTGAGGTGAAAAGTCAACAAAACACAGATTAAATAGCCGTTGGTTTCTTGCTCAAATGGTGTGGGATTAGGTTTGTCGTAACGCGCCACTCGGCGATGTGCGCGCATCGGACTTGCCACTCGGCGGACAGGCTGCTGAGGGAGGTTACTCTACCGAAAGGACCACGCTACATCCTGGTGAGGCCATGTCATTATGCCACGTGTTTAAGAATCTGGTAGAATAAGCTAGAAAAACAATAAAATGCACTAAAATGTGCCTTGAGTGTTGTCACATAGGGAAAACTTAATGCCGCGTATTAGACAAGATTTTTCGTAATTCAGTTAGGTAAAATATTTAATTTTATTAAATTCGATTTTGCTAAGGGAGCTTTCGTTGGCAAGTGTTTCATCACAATATGAACAATTATGAGAATTCAAAGCATTGACATTAATAATAATAATATTAGATCACATGCTCATAGTTAATAATGTGTCGATATTATATGTATGTATAATGTATGAATGAACCAACTGGTGGGGAAGAGATCCCCTTCAAATTTCTCCTACCAAAGTCACACAATCAATTCATCCGGACTCTTGAAATTTGATCTAACGGCTACAAACAGGAGATCCCTTTAAAAGTTATCATAATTTTAGCCGTTTGATCAAATTTCAAAGGCCCAGGATCCCCAACTAGTAAGATGGTCTGCCCCATTTTGACTTGAAAAAATGGTGGGCTGTGTTTGTGTGTTTTGAAGGTGAAAATACTATGCTACGAACAAATATTTGTCCTTGTGGTTTAATATTTAGTGGGTTGATGTTTGGTAGTCATATTTATTTCCTCCTACAAGTCAATTCTTCTTATTTTGTTGACCATATGATTATGTATGCATGCATGCAGATGCAGTATACAGTAATGCATTTACTATAACAAGATAATCGATTAATGCCTTTACTTTAAAGGAGGTTTCTTAGTTAAAATGGTTTTCAAATCGATATGATTCTTTTTTCTTTGGGTTTTGACAAGAAGAAATTGTAGGAATGGTCCATTAATTTTAACTTAATTAGAGTAATGGTGATTTAATTAAAAATCCACGATCATTGGTCTCTGAATTTTTCAAAACGTGCAGCTACGGTCATTTTTGTCAACTCCGTTAGAACTTTCGTCACTAATAAGTTACACGCCACACACGTGAGGCTGAATCAAAGGGCAAACGTGAAAAACGAAATGAGAAAAATTGTAGCAATGGTCCCTTAACTTTAACCCAATTTGAGAAATGATCCCTCAACTTTAACCTAATTGGAGCAATGATCCCTTAACCTTAACTTAATTGAAGCAATGGTCCTTCCAACATAATTAATTTTGAAGGAATTCTAACTGAGTTGTTGAAAATGACCATAGTTGCACGTTTTGATGAATTAAGGGACCAATGATCATGAATTTTTAGTTGAGAGATCATTGCTCCAATTGGGTTAAAGTTGAGGGATCACTACTACAAATTTCTCTTTTGACAATGAAAATTGATACAAGTGGTCATTGTGTTTGTTCATTGTAAATCATTTTGGTCAATTTATAAAAAAATTTGTCAATATCCTCGTTAAATTATCACGTAAACGATCATGTGACCCCCTTAAGGGTGTTTTTGTCAAACTAACCAGTCCACTTGATAAGGATGTTGAAATTTTTTTTACAAAATTACCAAAATGATTACGATGGACAAATTCAGAAACCAATTCTATATGTTTGAGTTAGTAGAGTCAAGTGAACACAATAGTCAGGGTCAAATATGTAGTAAATTTGAAGGGTGGCATTAATTCAGTAATCAAGATTCATATCTCTATTTGATGAATCTACCTGAATTTTATCATTACTTGATTGGACGGTAAAATAAACGGAGTGGTGGGGAATGCTACCATAAGTATAGACAACAAAGACAAGTCTAACACCACCACAAATACTAGAACATTGACTCACCTAATTTTATTTTATTTTTTCTTAAAAAAGGGATCAGTTGTTAATTTTGTTATGGTAGTCCATTATTTTGAAAGTCAGAAAGACTCACAAAGATATCAAGAATCAAATCTCAAACGATAAAATACGGACCTAAAATTCTTCTTCAACCACTGAACTACTTCATAGTTCTGGACTCACCTAATTTGATATAGAAGTTTAAACTTTGAATTGTGAAAAATTTCGAGTACACCAATTTATAGCATGCATTGTTGAGTTTAATGCATGCTAAAAATATCAAGAAAAAAAAATAAAAATATATCAATGTGTAGTTAACTGTAGTATAAGGACTCCTCAAATGAGAGAGATTTTTTAGTGTCTTCAGAGCACGGAACGGAGCATTGAAAAATTTCTTCCAACATTGAAATGGTCCCTCAACTTTAACTTAATTAGAGCAATGATCCTTTAACCTTAACTTAGTTGAAGCAATGATCCTTCCAACATGATTAATTTTGAAGGAATTCTGACTGAGTTGTTGAAAATGACCATAGTTGCACGTTTTGATGAGTTAAGGGACCAATGATCATGAATTTTTAGTTGAAAGATCATTGCTCCAATTGGGTTAAAGTTGAAGGACCACTACTACAATTTTCTCTTTTGACAATGAAAATTGATACAAGTGATCTTTGTGTTTGTTCATTGTAAATCATTTTGGTCAATTTATAAAAAAATCTATCAATCCGTCCACTTGACGAGAATGTTGAAATATTTTTTCACAAAATTACCAAAATGATTATGGTGGGCAAATTCAGAAATCAATTTTATATGTTTGAGTTGGTAGAGCCAAGTGACCACAATAGTCGAGGTCAAATAGGTAGTATATTTGAAGGTTGGCACCATTAATTCATTAATCAAGATTCATATCTCTACTTGATGAATCTACCTAAATTTTATCATTACTTGATTGGACGGTAAAATAAATGGAGTGGTGGGGAATGCTACCATAAGTATAGACAACTAAGACAAGTCTAACACCACCACAAATACTAGAACATTGACTCACCTAATTTTATTTTATTTTTTCTTAAAAAAGGGACCAATTGTTAGTTTCGTTATGGTAGTCCATCATTTTGAAAGTCAGAAAAACTTACAAAGGCATACCTCTGACCATCTTCGTGTGATTCACCAGTATCAAGAATCAAATCTCAAACGATAAAATACAGACCTAAAATTTATCTTCAACCACTGAACTACCTCATAGTTCTTGACTCACCTAATTTGATATAGAAGTTCAAACTTCAAATTGTGAAAATTTTCGAGTACACCAATTTATAACATGCATTGTTGAGTTTAATGCATGCTAAAAATATCAAGAAAAAAATAAAAAAAATATGAATGTGTTGTTAACTATAGTATAAGGACTCCTCAAATGAAAGAGATTTTTTAGTGTCTTTAGAGAGAGCATTGAAAATTTTCTTCCTTTGTGGGTCAATTGCGATGCAAAGATATATATATTTTTTTTTTTGTCAAATTCGATTCTGGTACGTGTGATCACACGCTACAACATTTCTCATCACTCATCAGCGGTAACTTAATCAAAGGATCAAAATATCCTAATCAACAAAAGGCCCACAAACTCAATGGTATGCAAAACGAACGGTCTAAGTTGACAAGAAATTTTTTTATTGTGATGGGAACATATGTGGTACAACACGATTTTTATATAAATGGTGGAAAATTTTATATTTTATAAGTTATTAACTTTTTAACACACATATCCCACCATTTATATAATAATACACGATATATTATCCAGTGTGCCAATCACTTTGAAAAATCTCAACCATAGTACGGTGCGTAAATTCATAGACAATGAAACCCAATAGTTCGGAGAGTCCAAGTTGGCAGAAACAGACAACATTTTTACGTCCGATGTGAGAAATCCAACCTGGATTCTCAATAGATCAGAAACCTCTCGATCAATCAAACAACTGGACGGCATAAATCCCACTTTGTTTTTTTGGTTTTTCGATTTAAATTATGTGGCTGCCACGCAAACAGAACAAAAAAGACCTACCGGTTTCTGAAAATCTTGGGTTTTTGAGGGTCGACAGATGGATCAGTTTGTGGTGGTGTGAGGAGGCCACGACCCCAAATTAGCAAAGAAATTTGGTTTTCTTGGTTTTCTGGAACTGGGTTTCTCTCGGCTATGGCGGATAAGGTTTGCCTGATGGCCTTCCATGGTTGCCCTCACGGCCTCGTTCTGAACCAGGAGCAACCCATGAGCTATATCAAGGTAAAAGCAGAAGGCTTTGAGTTTAGCATATGACTTTTTTTTCTTTTTTTTTTTTGTTCTTCCTGAAGAAAAGGTTTCATCTTTGGGTTTATATTGGAATAATATTCATTTGGGTTGCTTTTTCTTGATTGGTGTTGTGTGATTGTTTGTGTTCTTCTGGGATTCATGTTTGATTTATGATTTGGGTTTGTTCATGTATTAATCAGTTCAGTTTATCCGAAGGTTTTGGCTTTTGACTTGCAGATAGAAGTTTCCATTTTTGCTTTTGTTTTATAAGGAGATTCATTGGGTTTGTTTTTCTTGCTTGATATCATGTTGTTGTTTGGGGTTCTTTTGGGATTCATGTTTGATTTGTGATTTGGGTTTGTTTGGACTCGTTCGGTTGCTTGAGGCCATGTTTGGTGTCTAGTATTGGATTCGTTTGGACTGGATGGTTCATTAGTTTTAAGGTATGTTGATGGAAGAAATAGTGGCCAGCTTTCAAATTTTGTCTAAGTTCAAGGTGGAGGATGGATTAGTAATGAAGGAAATTTTGTCGGAAGAGATAAATTTTATGTTGACAAACAAAATTAGGAAGATTACCTTCATTTCTTACTTCAGCATACCTTGGATGTGGTGAGGTGTTCAATCCTGTCTTAGGTACCAAACGTGGCTTGGTTTATCTTGTACGTTTAGCTTTACTTTCAATTTTCTTGTTTCGTTCATAACGAATCCATCTAATCCCTACAAACAACAACCAAGCCTTATCCCACTAAGTGAGGTCGGTTGTATGAATCCTAGAACGACACTGTGTTTGGTTTCTCCTTTCCAATCCCTTCAATGCAAGTTTTTTTAGGAAGTTGACCTTCATTTCTTCAACATACTTTCGATGTAGTGAGTTATTCAATCCAATTGCAGGTACCAAATGTGGCTTGATTTTATCTTGTAGTTTAGTTTTAATTGGGGTTTCAATTTCTTGTTTCGTTTTATTTTTCAAAGGAATTGCATGTCTGTTGGTATTTTCCTTTTTCTTTTAAAGCTGTTGCTAGTAAGTTCATAAAGAATTTGCTGTAGTTGTTTGGTGGTTATCTGTCCTGGTCCCAGGCTCCCTGCCGGTAGTTAGTTTTTCTAAAAGAAACTAATCTTTGATTAACACAGGATTTCCAATCATTTATGCCAAGTTTTGGAGCAAAGGAGGAAATCACAAAGTTAGGATCTTTGAAATTGATGCCGCAGCAATGTGAGGAGCCATGGAAACTCAAAAGTGGAGTGCCGGAGGCCAACTGGTTTGTAAAGACTGTCTCAGAAATTGAAAGACCTGCTCTGAATGTGCAAGGTATGCACCTCGTGAGCTTTTTGTTGTATGCAGCTATTGCTTGAAAATATGAGTTTAGTAATAAGCAACTTATTTTGATTCCATTTCTGTATGTTTCGGTGAAGTTGAACTTTGGCTATCGTGTTCTATTGCGTTTATAGCATGTAAAATTAAGAAATTTTGTATTTTTGCTATCTGATTTATTCTTGTTCACGTGTGGTGTGACTTTCTATAAATGATGGACTCCTGCATACTAAACAAATGCAAAATAGTTGAATAACTGTAGTGGCAATAAAGACATCGTATACTCACCATGTTGGGTTAGACTATTGGGCCTCGAGTGGCGTGAGCATAATTTTGTTTGTTGCAAAGTTATCGCCCTCAATACATGTTTGTGCGTACGTGCATGCATGATAGACCACATGCACTTGTTAAAAGAATGGCTCAATTGGGTATAAGATTGCCCATGAAAATAAAGGAGAATTATAATGGCGTGTGTTTTTATCAATTCATGCATAGTTACTGGGATGCAATGAAGGCTGAGGGGAGTGACCGAAATGCTGCTATATCCTTGTTGAATTTGTAATACTGAAATATTCTTTCATTGCAGTATGTTGAATTATCACTTTTTCATGCTGATTGCAGATGTTCGTCCAGACTCAGTGCTGTTCAGCTGTGGAATTGCCGAACACTTCATAAGACGTGAAAAAATGTTGCAGTTCCTCAGATCAGGAGAAAGTGAAGTGGAGAGAGGCGGAATAGATATAACCTTACTATATGACTTGATGGGGTTACATGAAATGGGCCAACAACCATCAATGCCTTCTCTTATCTACCCGAGTAGTGAGTTGAATACCCAGAAGCCCCTCTTGGACTTTGTAGGCAGCCTTCACTGGAGTTCAAAAGTTACAGTTCAGCCCGATGGTCGAGTCTTATTCACAGGTACCGAGGCTGAGATGAAGCATCTCCTTTCAGTTGTTGCTGAATTTTACTCCTTGAGAAACACAGTTGTTTGGAAAAAGCAGTCTGTATTGGTTCCGCACTTTAAGAGGTACGCATGGACTTGAACCTGTTTTCACTCAAATATGTCACTGCCTGTTTTACAGGATCAAATACGTATTTACTCCTCCAAATGAATATTTTCTAAAAATGAAGGTGTTTGGTTATACATGCATGGGTTTTCCTTACCAGTACGGCATAGGTAGATCTTATGGGTCGAGTTTAAAATGAAGATCTCCTCAATAATGCTTGCTTAGAAAATTACTCGTCGGTGTGATGAATAGTCTACTTTCCAACTATAATATAAATGTTCTCGATTTTTTCTGTTCCTATTCATTCTTTTCTCCTATAACATACAACCTGACAATAATTTTATGGACCAGTGTGGGGTGCCGGGAAGCAGGAGTTGTTATTGATGGAACTTCGTTCAATATGCAAGCTACTACCCTTGCTCCTTTAAAGAGGTATTATTTTTCATATTCTGGCTCATGCTTTGATACTGTTTTCGCTTTCTTTCTCCTTTTTAATGACATCAACTTATTTCTTTCAATATCTTCGTATCTACCTGCTTTAAGTGATATCAGTTTCAATACTGAACGAGATATTAACAGTTTCCGCACTTGTACGCCTATTATTCCAGCGAATATTTGATCAGGGCATGATTCTTATTGAATTTACGTCTGTTTTACTTAACAGTCCTGAAAAAGTTAAGACAAAGGCGAAGCCAAAGCAGAAGAGTGGTAAAAAAGCGGGCAAAGATAGAGATCTCTACAAGAGGAACTATTTCCACGCCTGTGAGAGCCTTCTATCTATAATGATGAGCAGAAAACAGAATGGGAAAGTGGCAATCCTCTCACTTAAACGATCTGGCCCCGAGCTTCCGGATCTCCTGACCCAGTTTTCTGCCGCTATTGCTGGAACTGGGTTGGCTGTCCTCTTCTCTGTCCTCTGTAAAGTAGCTTCTGGGAGGGTACCCTTTTGTGCGTCCAAACTCTTGAATACTGGAGTTGCATTTGCATTAGTTTGGCTCTCTTGTGGGGTGAACAAACTGAGGGATACAATCGTGCAAATCAGCAAGAATTCAAAGAAGCGGGCTTTAAAAGACGAGGAAATCATGGAAAGGGTAGATAGAAGCGTGAAGGAGATTTACTTGAGAGCGGGAACATTGATGGCAGTGGCGGTGTTGAGGCTTGCTTGAGCATGAAATGAGAAGAGGAAAGAGAAAACGTAAAGATGGTTTGAAGAACATTGGACCGGATGGTGAGTATAAATGTACACATGGTGTCCGATTTGGGTGATCGTCAGACAGATGAAGCTTGATGGGCATGAGGTGAAGGATCCTTCTTCGAAAGACATTGAATTCTGATTCCGAAGCACTCCACTCCACAGCTGACGGGAACCGGAGCTCCCCGGAGCTCTGGCTAATGACCAGTCAGCCGGTAGTAGTACTTTTGTAGCAATAGTTAATGTAGAATGTAAATTCATAGGAGCGTAACATTGTGGTCTGTAACACAATACAATTTTGTGCATCCAATGTAGGTTCAACTTTCTATTCTATTCACTCATGTTATCCAGGTGGTCCGGGAGGGACCATCACAGCTCCTCTCTTCTCGAGAATCCATACAGCCCTTATTAGTATATGGACAACTATCTCTCGAGCACAGGTTTAGGTTCGGCTTCAATGGGAAAATAAAACGGAGGATCTAACAATGTATATTCATAGACCAAGAACTACGACATCACTCTTTTCATTCTTGGGTGATAAGAGGGATCGTACCATTCAAGCCTCTTTTTTTCATGCTTTTCCCAGAAGTCTGGAGAAAGCTGTAATCCCACTTGTTCAATTGTTGCTGAGCAATTATTGGATTAAACGGACCTCCCCATAAGGTAATTTTAATGTGGCCGATTTTTCCTCTTTTGCAATCAGTTTTGCAACAGCACCTGCTGCTTTAGCTAATTGTCCACACTTTCCAAGTATGATTTATATGTTATATATGGTCGTGCCTCAACATATCGGTTGAAGTAGATTCTTCTTTTTGATCAATCAAAACCCCTTCCCAAACTGTACAAGCTTCTTCTAAAGCATACGACTTTCTTGATATAGATGATGATATATATACAGATGGATCTTATATATTATCTTATAATTCTTATATATAGCATATAATGAAGTACCACAAGAGTGGATATATAGGAATCAAAATATGCCAAATAACTCATATTATGCTCTTCTACATCCTAGGTCATCCCGTTCCTTCATTTGGCTTATGTTCTTCACGTAGCATTCAGACTATTCATCTGTTTTTTCCAAGGTTCTAAAAAATGCTAGGCGCTAATCGGGCGGCGGGCTGACTCCTAGCGCCTAGACGGCTAGGCGGAGTCTAGGCGGGTGCCTAGGCGGATTTGTATTTTTTAAATAAATCTATAATATAATATATAAATACGTCCATTTTTACACACACAAAAATCATACTTGTTGAAAAAAATAAAATACAAAACATACAAAATAAATATTTGTTATAAAATATAAGTATTGTATAAAATTTTAGAGTTTTTTTAAGACCATAATTATTATTGGTTCTTATTTTGTTTAATTGTTTAAAATTGGGCCTGCTACAAATCTTGAAACAAAGTCCATAAACTTTTAATTAATAAAAAACCTACTAACCCTAGAGAACATAGCCGCACCCACCTCCACCTTTCTCTCTATCTCATCTGCATAGATTTTCAATTTCTCTCTCTCTGCAGCGCTATCTTTCTCCCCCCGTCCCTCTTCGCAGCAAATCGTCTTTCTCTCCTTCCCTCATTCCCTTTCTCTCTTTCACTCCCTTTTCGTCGAATTTTGTAGGAGATCTGAGGTCTGGGTGCAACTGAAGGTGGAAGGCAATGAGAAAACGGCGACTGCAAGCTCGAAAGAAGGCAACACAGTGACAAGACCGCCTAGCACCACCGCCTAGGCGGGCGCCTAACACATCCCTGCTTTTCTCCGCCGATTGGCACCTAATCGAAGCGGCACCTCCCCGCCCGGCCGCCTAGGCGATTTTTAGAACATTGGTTTTTTCAAATGGATATTTAGGGATCTCTTGTTCATAGATCTTGAAACCAGATCAATATCCATTTCTCAATATATCTATCTATCGATAGAAAGATATAGATCTCTTCTATCTGGCCATATCTAAATATGGAAGAACCAACACTTAAAGGGCGTACCGACGGAAGGTTCTCACCCTGTCCCCGACATTGTTCTCCGACGATGCCCCCTGGGCGAAAGGGGCCACCATTATCTTTCTTTCTTCAATCGTTCCGATCAGGACAAGTGGGTTGGTTCGTTTCGTCCTTCTATCTACGCAATTCTCTGTCTTCGTTCGTGATCATGTTGGGCGAAAGGTAGTTGTAGAGGAGCGGCTGTGAAACGGTGATTCCCCCCTTTCCATTGAACCAAATGACTCTATGAAATTATGCCGATACTTCCACATATTACGGGTAACGTAGGAAACTTCTATCTTTCCACGAAGAGAATCCTTAGAATTACCACTGCTTAGCTTTCAATTCGCCTTTGACCATCAAATGAAATGTGAATAACTCGTCCTCCTCTTTTGAAACAAGAGGCGTTTTTGGTTCAGTAAGTGCTTGAAACAATTTTGCCTTCCCCATACTAAGGAAATCTTTAAAATGTGCTTGTAAGTGGATTTATGGTTTATTGAGCAACAAGTGTATGTTTAGAAAAATATTTAAGCCTAAAAGAAAAAAAATAAGTTAAAATCACCTGTAGGTGAGGCTTAAACAACAAATAGCAAAATTTTCATTGGTTAAATAGTCTTTCACCCTCTTTTGATTGATAAAGACAGTTCTATTAATATGTAGTTTAGATTTTGGTAAAAGAAAAATTAACAAAAAAAAGGTTCAAATACCTTTAAATTTAGGTTTTAAATTGTTGATTACAAGTGTTTAAATACGAATTATAATAGATTTTGCACGAAAAAATATATTTAGAAGAGTATGAGTATGATAGTTTGTTGTAGTGGTAAGAGAAATAAAAGAAAAATTAACATAAATGATTCAAATTCTTGGGGTGTTGAATCATTTATGTTATTTTTCTTTTATTTCTCTTACCACTACAACAAACTATCATATTCATGTTCTTCAAAACATATTTTATCCGTGTGTGGAGCTCAACTTGTCTTATGAGCATTCGGGCGTTCACCTTGTTCTGGGTGCGCAGAGCCCACCTCGTGTTGTGTTCATCTCATTCTGCATGTAAGGTGTCCGCATCATTTTGCGTGCCAGAAGCTCGCCCATTTTACGTCGATTGAGCCCATGTCGTTTTGGCGTGCACAGAACTAGCCTCGTTTTTTGTGCGCAGGGCTAGCCTCAGTTTGTGTGAAGTATCCCCCTCGTTTTCCGTGCATGAGCTCGCCTCGTTTTGCGTACCAGAGACCGCCCCGTTTTCTATGAGCGAAGCCCACCTTGTATTGCGTGTCATGTTTCGCCTCATTCTGCCTGAGTTGAGTCTACTTCAGTTTGCGTGCGTCGAGCCCGCCTAACACCCATGTTTTTTTACAAAAATGTAAATTTTTTATTTTCGAAAAATAATTTTTCTGAGCATTAAGTTAGACTTGGTAAGGAATTTGAAAGCAGTTTTACAGTATATTGAGCAACAAATGTATGTTTAGTAAAATATTTGAGCTGAAAACTAAAAAAATAAGTGAAAATCATAGTAGTGAGTCCCAGAACACTATCAAAGGGGGTTCGACACTCAAGAATCTCAACGGAAAGTCTCACCTTAATTTTCAAAACTTCACAGTGAGGCGAAGGTGAAAATAAATAGATTGAATGGTGATTTATATAAGAATTTGCAAAACCGACTGAAAACTGTGAGTGTTAATCCACATTTTTTTTTCTGAAAAATGCAAATTTTTTATTTTTTTTCTAAATATTTTTCTTGAGCATTAAGGAAATCTTTATAATGTATCTGAAAGCGGATTTACGGTTTATTGAGCAACAAGTATATATTTATTAGATATTTAAGCCAAAAAAGTAATTTAGATTTAGATAAAAGAAAACTTAACCAAAAAAAAAAAAAGAGTTCAAATATCTTTAAATTTAGGTTTTAAATCGTTGATTACAAATGTTTAAACACAAATTATAATAGATTTTGCACGGGAAAATATATTTGGAAGAGCATGAATATGATAGTTTGTTGTAGTGGTAAAAGAAATTAAAGAAAAATTGGCAAAAATGATTCAAATTCTTGGGAGTGGCACAAAGTCCTGCGTGACTTTGTGCCAGCCAGAAATTCAGTCACATGTGACTTTCTGTCACCCTAAGAATTTGAATCATTTTTGTTGGTTTTTCTTTTATTTCTCTTACCACTACAACAAACTATCATATTCATGCTCTTCAAAATATATTTTATTCGTGCGTGGAGCTCGACTCATTTTCTGACCATCTGGGAGTTCGCCTCATTATGCATGAGCGGAGCCTGCCTCGTCTTGTGTGCTTGGGTTCACCTCATTCTGCATGTGAGGTGTTTGCATCATTTTGTGTGCCAGAAGCCCGTCCTTTTTTCATCCATGGAGCACGCGTTGTTGTGGCGTGCACGAAACCACCCTCGTTTTTTGTGCGTAGGGTTGGGCTTAGTTTGTGCGAAGTCCCTCCTCGTTTTTCGTGCGTGAGCTCACCTCGTTTTGCATGCAAGAAGCCCGCCCCATTTTCTATGAACAGAGCCTAGCTTGTATTGCGTGGCATGTTTCACCTCATTTTGCATGACCTGAGTCCGCCTCGTTTTGCATACGTCGAGCCCGCCTAACACCCATTTTTTTTGAGAAAAATGCAAATTTTTTATTTTCAAAAAATAATTTTCCTGAGCATTAAATTAGACTTTTTAAAGAATTTAGAAGCAGTTTTATAATTTATTGAGCAACAAATGTATATTTAGTAGAATATTTAAACCGAAAACTAAAAAAATAAGTGAAAAACAGTGAGTCCCATAATACTGTCAAATGGGTTCGCCAGTCAAGAATTTCAACGGAAAGTCTCACCTTAATAAGCTATTTGCATTGGTTACTTGTTTTCTTGTTTCAATTTAACACCTCTGATACCAAAGGGGAGCAATTTCTTCGGTCAAGGAGCGAACCAGAAAACAAACCACACAAAACAACTAGGTCTTTGGCTCCGAGGAAGGCGAAATGGAATAGCGAGGAATGGGAAAAATGCCATATTGTACATGGGAAAGAATGTAAACTGCTTGAACAAACTAACCATGTTAAAATTATTGCCAGCCTTGGGAACAGAGAAACTAATGGGACGCAAAGGTGCCGAATTTACTCAATTGACTCTGTTCACTCTAACACCGAACAATCTCATCGACAAAACCTAGAACAAACGCATAAAATGCGGATTGTGTAAGCAATTATGACATGTCATGCTTCTCTAAGTGAAGTGTTCTTTGTTTCCCCGCGCCGTTTTCCATGAATGTGCATACAGAAAGTGATCAAAGGATCCAGGACCGGGAAACCTTCATTCTCAAAGTACTTTGGAAACAACTCCTGCACCAACTGTTCTTCCTCCCTCCCTCAAGGCAAATCTTTGTCCTGCCAAATGAACATAGGGAATCTTTAGCCTTAAAAAAATCACAATTCAGACTCGGACAACCACTCACAAGTCGTATTAAGCAAATTCTTAGTTTTCTGTCACACAGAAGATGTGAACAAACCTTGTTCAAGAGGAACCGGCTGAATCAGCTCAAAAACTGCAGTCACGTTGTCTCCTGGCATAACCATCTTAACATTTTCGGGCAATTCTACCTTTCCAGTGATATCTGCTGTCCTCATATAAAACTGAGGCCTGTAGTTTGAGAAAAAGGCTGTGTGGCGTCCACCTTCATCCTTTGTGAGGACGTATATCTCTGCTTCAAACCTCTTGTGTGTCTTCACGGTTCCTGGCTTAGCAATTACCTGTGCAATGGGAACAAATAAGTGAGGCGGAGTTATCCCACATTTACGGCAGTTGGTGCCGAAACATAGTTAGTTGCCAGAATAAAGATAAAGATTTATGGCATTCCCATAAACAATAACCAATAGAAGAATAGCTTCCACACGGTATAACCTATAGTTATGTAATCTACAAGGGTTAAATATGCGTTTTAATAGAATTTCCGCACGTTGTACCAAAAGTAATATGAAACCAAGACCTCTACAATTGAAACCACTTACCTGTCCTCGTTGGATATCTTCCCTCTTTAGACCTCTAAGAAGAAGACCGACATTATCACCAGCCTAGCCAAGTGCACAAACCCATGAATGAGATATATTTCCTGCTATTAAGAGCCGTGGTATCTTAAAGAGTATTCAGAATAAGTCACTTACTTGCCCATGATCCAAGATTTTCTTGAACATCTCAACACCGGTCACCACTGTTTTCAAAGGAGCACCCTGGAAAAGAACACAAACTTAGGACCAGCCATTCGTACACTGGTATTTTACCCTCAAGCTATCAAAGACACTTATATTCAAGGTCCACCTAAGGCCAATGGCAACTCATAAAATGAGTTGCATATACTAAATCATCAGCTAAAGAAGTAAAAGGGGAAGAAATGCATAAGGAAGCTTTGCACCACAATAAAACATAAAAACTTGTGTCACACGGACCTGATGTAACCCCAGAATCTCAACTTCCTCACCAACTTTAATGGTCCCTTGTTCAACACGGCCAGTGGCAACAGTTCCACGACCCTTTTAAGACATAAAAAGAGATTAATAAATAAATTGACTGCTGCAATGAGGCTACTGTAACAACAAAAGAGAAAAAAGGAGAAAATCCAGTGAAAATAAGGAGCAGAACAAAGCAAGGCAAAAATAACTGTGCAACATGAGAATTTGGACGATTCAAATAAAGCACGTCATATTTCTAGAAAAGCTTATAATAATAGTTTCATGATCAATACAATAGTAATAGGATATTACAGTGGAACTGTACTTAGATATTATGAAACAAAATTACAGGCCAAATTTAAGACAATTCTTGCAATGAAATAACAAATGTCTGAGTGTACCTAAATGCATGGCCAACTTACTTGAATTGAGAAAACATCTTCAATTGGCATCAGGAAGGGTTTGTCAAGCTGGCGTACAGGGTCAGGAATGTACTCATCCACAGATTCCATTAATTTTAAGATTGCTTTTTTGCCAATCTCATCATTTGTGCCTTGTAAAGCCGATAGAGCCGAACCCCGGACGATAGGGATTTCATCCCCAGGGAACTTGTAGAAGCTAAGAAGCTCTGCCAGAAATATAAAGCAAATTTATAAGAACTTATGTTGAACATAAAGCTATCCGCTAATAATATGATCTCTTAAATCTACTAACCACGGAGCTCCATTTCAACCAGCTCTATCAACTCTGGATCATCAACAGCATCAACTTTATTGAGAAAACATACAAGTGATGGCACACCAACCTGGGCAATACACCCAACAAGAAAAATATACACATCATTATACACCGCAAATGCGCAAGAAAAAACACATCAGTTTGAATTTCTTAAAGTCTAACAACAATAAAATACCCACTTGGCGGGCGAGCAGAATGTGTTCCTTTGTTTGTGGCATAGGCCCATCAGGAGCAGAGACGACCAGAATACCTCCATCCATTTGGGCAGCTCCAGTAATCATGTTCTACATATTAACCATTCGTATTAGACGACAATCCATGCACGAAGCTATTTAACAATATTCCCTCGAATTCAAAGCTTACTTTGACATAATCTGCATGTCCTGGGCAGTCCACATGTGCGTAATGGCGCTTAACAGTCTCGTATTCTACATGAGCCTAAAAAATGAAGGCAAACCTAAGTTAGGCAGAATAATATTTTGGAGAATGAGTCAGAAACAAATGGAAGATAAACCATTCCAAGAATATAAAATGCAAAGCTGATCATAAAGAAAAACATCTAACCGTCGCAATTGTAATTCCTCTCTTTTTCTCCTCAGGGGCCTTATCAATTTCATCAAAGGCCACGGCCTTAGCTTTCCCTTCTTCTGCCAGTACCTGAGAAAAACTCGAAAAGTTATATTATGATAAAAAAATTCCATTTTCCCCCTTTCTCTCATATGAACTGGGTCCGTCACATGGACCGAACTAGAGTTGGGAAAGCAGTTATCTTTAGCAACATCCTTTCATGCTACATTGTATGAAGCAAATACAGAGATCCAAATACACCCCACAAATTATGCATATAGAAATGCAATCAATACATTGAAATGACGGACCTTTGTAATTGCTGCAGTCAGCGTTGTTTTTCCATGATCGACGTGTCCAATTGTTCCAACATTCACATGAGGTTTTCTACGTATGCATAAACAATGCGATTACAATTCATAAACCGAAAAACTCACATCCATAGATATTCAACTTCAATGACGCAACACCCAATTCAGATACAAGCAATTAAACAGGCCAATTAAATCCAGTACAACAAAAAAAAACTAAAACGGTGCAAATCTCTCAATTAATTCGCTTCTAAAAATCCTAAATTTTTATGAAAACTGAAATATTCAAACTTTAAAGCAACAAAGAGGCAACGAGTGAATACTAACGTGCGTGTGAAGGTGGCCATGGATCGCCACCAAGGACAAGGGCTACAAGATCGGTCATTTCCGAAGGTGGAGTCGGAGATTGGAGAACCGGCGGCGGCGATCGATCCTCGGCTGCACAAGTAGAATTGCGAGGAGTAGGGGAGGATGCGCTTGGAGCTAGGGTTTCTGAGAGCGACCGCAGCCATTGAAATGCAGAGGAGGAAGAAGAAGAAACAGAGAGAGAGAGAGAGATGGATGTTTGGCTTCAGAGCCTTCACTACTCGCAGTGTGGCGGAGATTTGAGCGTTGGGGTTTTAGGCTTTTTTTAGGGCTTTTGGGATTTCTCGAGGGTTTTTGCTGACGGGCTTAGCCGAAACGCACCTTTTCAATCAAACCCGGCCCGTCTTTTCAACGACTTGGTTTAACACAACGAGTGCTTTAAATGTGGGTTCATACTTTGCCACGTATGCACTCACTACATAGAGAGAATTTTTGTGCCGATAACATGGTCCGGTATAATAATTGTAATAATACAGTTAGTTGTACACTTGAGAAAAACAAATTTTCAACCGATTATATTATGACATTTAATGTACCGAGTCGTGTTTCTGACACACTAAAAAATTTCTTAAGTACAACATATATGCTCATTTCAGACTCACAAAGTAATGTACATCGTAAAAATAATTTACATGACTTTGATGCCAATATTGTTACATTTCTATATGTTACTATTGTTCTTTTAATTTCATCAATTTCTTTGAAGCAAACTTTTAAGTTTCTGTATTTTTCATATTGTTATACTAAAAAAAAAAAAAAAAAATTAGAGTTAGCTTCAATATCTTTTAATTTTATATATTTTACATGACAGTGTGACAGTCCATAAAAAATCTCTCGTCCGAGTGGACGTAAACGAACTGATATGAGCGGATCGAGTATTAGAATATTCAAACTTGACACACAAGGCAGGGATTGTTGTGGTGCAAAACGGGAAAAAAGTTTGAAGGGAAAGGACTTGGATTCTTCCCCAAGAAAGAACTATAACATGCTACAAACACTCTGTAACCCTAAGTCAAGTGGAACTTGGATAATCTCCCAACCAAGAACTCCTTTATAACTAGAGGGCGTCTTGTTGCGTAAATAATGATCAGTTGAATTACAAGAAGAGAGAGAGAGAGAGAGAGAGAGAGAGAGAGAGAGAGTAGAAAAGAAGATGGTTTGGAAGGGATTAGGATATTGCTTGGGCGGAGCTGTTCTTTCCTCCACCGGCTGGTTCCTCAACGAGTAATTCTTTTGCTCCATTTTTCGATTTCGCCGTCTTTCAGAGAAAGAAGAATTGTAGTTTTGGTACATTTTAGAAGTTCAATTTCTTTTGGGGGAGTTAGTTATTAATTTAGTTTTGTTTTTGTATTATTGCAGTGATGCAGATAAGCTTGACTCAGTCCCTCGGATCAGCCAGTTGAAGGATTTGGGTGCGTTCCTCTTTCGAAATCTGTCTTTTCCGATTCCACAGTGCCGTCACACGCAAGTTATAACGCTTGAATCAACTTTTTCTAATTTTATCCGTCCATGACATATCAATCTTGTTGTCTTACCTAAACAATAATATTTGTCTTCTTTCGCTTTTCAGAAAATCATGGATCGGGCACGGTGGTCGCGATTTCGGGGGAAGTTGGCTCTGAAACACCCATCGACTGTGAGCTTGGTGGTTTGCAAGGTGTAATTGTTCGAAAGGTACCGAAATCATAACTTACTGACGCAGCGGAAAGGAATGTATAGGTTAGGACTTACGGTTCACAAACGATTCCTAAAAAGGTTCCTGTAACTCCAGTAACTCTTACAAGCTTTGCTTCCACAAAACCTAAGGACAAAGGAAAGAAATGCGAAACAAAAAAAAATGAAAAATTAACAAAACAACCCAAAACTAATAAAACCGTTGTTTTGACCCTCTAAACGACTCATAATGCCCCTAAACTGCCAACATCGTCAAGCAACTTCTTTATTCCTACGTCACACACATATATACAAAGGCCGGGATTCCATTTTAGTGTTCATGGAATGGGATACTCATTATATGGTCGATGTGTTTTTCATATTATCAATATCATGTCGATATTGTGTTGGTAACTTGATATGAAATATTGATATAGAAAATGTTGATTTAGGAATGGAGTACATGTCCTCATGACATGTTCTCAATATATAGTCAATATGTTATGGTATACGTCTCTCCTATTTTTATTTAGTGTTGAATTTTTTGTGTGGGTGTAATCGGTAGTTAATTACATTCTTGTTGAAATCTTCTTTAGACAGAAGTAAAGTTGTTGAATTGGCCAGAGTCTGTTTCGGCAAACAAAACGAGAAAAGAAGTCCCATGGTATTTGGTAAGGATTTTTGTTCTCCTCTCTTTGGTGCTCACTTAATTTTAGTTCTTGATTGAGTAAATATTAACTAGATTTTACAATGTGAGATATTCTAAACTGCTATAGGAAGTGAAATTCGAAATTCTATGCAAAAAGGCTGGTACGTCGCCTCGACTAACTGACTTAACTTACATCTGCCTTGACTTTATTATACAGGATGACGGAACTTGTCATGTGAACGTAGTGGGAGCTCAAGAAGCCTTCAACTTTAGCTTGCCAGTTGAAAATTGGGCAGCTGATAAGAGATTAGATGCTCCCTTCTCAATCTTCAAGGTTTGCCCTGACTTTAATCCGACAAAACTCTGAAAAGTCGATGGTTAAACGCCAACTAATACGATCTTTGTTTTGTCTTAGGTCCTTGGAGACCAAGTAAACGAGTGCGTACTTCCAGTTGGTACTTGTTTGAGCGTTGTTGGTGAGGTATGAAAGTAGTATTTTGTATCCTTCTACGTATGTTGTAGTACTTTAAATCGGTGTCTGAATGTTTCGAGTCCATATTCTCAGGTTACCAAAGATGATAATGGTGCCATTCAGATTCATAAACCAAAAGAAGGGCAATTTTATGTATCCACCTCAACCATCGACAAGATCATTGATGACTACAGGACCTGGGCAAGGTTGGTTATTTGAAACTTTGAATCCATGCATTAATGCTTACAGACATTCGCTCGTGTGTGTCTACCTGCGCGTTTGCTGCTCGTGCCATGTATCTATATTCTTCGTTTGTGATTTATATTTTGTCCGAACTATAATATTTGATCTCTTCACCTGCAGGGTGCTGTATGCTGCATCCGCCGGGTTGGCTGTGTATTATGTTTTTCTGAGAAAAGACTAAGAAGGTGAATTGTCGCGCAAGTTACGTTAGTTTGGAAACTGAGTACGTGAAATCGCCGCTGCTTAAGAACTCTTTCCATGATTGGATCATATCTTCTCTAAGAATCTGAAGGCCTAATTAAGCTGGTCTTAGTTTATATGTTGACAATTTGTCTTTGTGCAACTCCCTTCGACTTTTTGCCAGAAATTTCCAATTTATATTAATACATATTTTATTTCCAAGTTTCTTGATTAATTATTCTCAAATTTGTGATCGGTAATTTTTTTGCGATTTCTTATTGAATAGTCGAATAGAATTACAATCCTCAAGCATTACCTTGAATAATATCATGCGGTTCTTCAGACCAAGTGCCCGATGCACTCAGGGACAAAGCCAGAGATTTATATGAGCGGGGGCATTCTCAAACAACAAAGTTACAATTAAAAATCTCAAGAATTTATTGAACAAAACGCTAATATATTAATCCATAAAGTTTTTCATACAACATATTACATTATTCCTTGAATCGTTTTTATATTTTGAAAGCGCTGCATACCAATATCATTACCAATACCATTAAATATCTCTTTCTATAAAAATATCATATTATCATTTATACATTGATCTCTAAAAATTCTAAATTGAAATGCCAAAAACAAATTAATGAAGTAAAGTCGTATAAAATACCTTTTTTTAAGAATTGGAACGCAACCATACTTTTTTTAAAATGAGTGGGGGCATCCCCTATGCCTACACTAACTCCATCCTTGGATGCACTGTATGGACAAACATTTTTTGGATAAATGGTTCTTTGAATATATTTACATCTTCATCTTTGCATGGGCTGGGCGTCCGTCCTTCATCCCCATCCTTTGGGGCCGGTGCGCGGAACGGTTTATCGAGCTGTTTCTCGCCTCAACCCCCTAAATAGGAAGAGGGGTACTTTACAAATAGGGGGTAATTGCTTTGCACCTGACTGTGATAGCCCTCTCGATATGACAGATGACTTGAAAATACATGTCTGATATAGTAATTAATTTGGCAGAACTTTAATTCGATGGTTCGTTCTAATTTGGCAAAACTTTAATTCGATGGTCCTATAGGACCGTGGAAAAAGCATTAATCGAACGCGAACTTCCAATTGGTACTTCATTCAATGTTGTTGGTGATGTATGCAAGTACATATATGCTTCTGCATACATCGTAGAAAGTTTTCGGTTTAGTTTGCAACCAAAATGTACTACAGTTGGATGATGTCTTAATTATTCAAAATCATATTCGGGCTGTCAAAGATGAAAGTGGTACCATTCGGATTCAGAAACCGAAAGATGGGCAGCCATTTTATGTCTCCCCCATACCCGTCAATCAACTCGTTAAAGACCGTCGGAACTTGGCACGGTTGGTTATGTATACATACGTGCTAGTTGATGCGTGCGCGCTTGTGTTTGCTGCTGGAGCGATCTGCATATTCTTCAATTCATGTGTGGATTCTCTAACATCTCCTTACGAGGTTGCTCTATTCCGGATCTTTCGTTTGGTTGTGTGCGTTGTTGTTTTGAATCGCCGATTATTGAAGAGGTAACTTGTCCCGCAAGTTACGTATATTTAGAAGACTTGCTTTTCAGCGTTGGTGAGGACTTTCGTCTGCTCTTGAAGATCTGCTTCAGATGTTTTTGGCTGCTGTAGTTAGCAGATGAAGAAATCTCTCCGAGATTGGATCATATCTATCTTGTATAAGAATTTCACGACTAATCAACTCTGCCTTAATTATTAGGGTTTCGACAAGTATATATGCATTGATTCTCACCAAAATCAACAAAGTTGACAAGCTAGTAAGAGTCAAATCAACTACTTTTCTTGGTCCATATTTCATATTTACTATGGTAATTTAGAGTTTACTGTGAAAAGTAAGAGTTTACTTTCGTTTTCTTTTCTTTTTATTTTTGGCTTTTTAGCCAAAATTATCTTTGAGATTTGCATAACTCCTCATTTTGGTCTCTGAGATTTAAAATCAATAGAAATAGTCCCTGAAATTATTCATCATCAATTATTTTGGTCATTCTGCGAAAAATTATGTTACATAAGGATTGAAAAGGACAAAATACCCTCAATTTAACAAACAATAGGCCAAAATGATTTGACAAAAAATTGAGGGTATTTTTGTCATTTACTCTGATTTAATGGAGTTTTTTTATGGAATGGCCAAAATAATTGATGATGGACAATATCAGGGACCACTTTTATTGATTTCAAATTTCAAGGACCAAAGTGAGGAGTTATGCAAATCTTAGGGACCATTTTGACTAAAAAACCTTTATTTTTTATAAAGAGTTTACTTTTTTGGTTACGATTAAAGAAAATCGAATTTCTAACTTAATTCTAATTTGTTTTCCATCCATTATTTTTAATATAAATTTAGCATTAGTAGATTAAATAATCAGTAAAAATCGAACTTGTAGTACGATGTATGGGCACAATTGTTTTCCATTCATTCTTGTCACTTAAACAAACCGTCCTATTTTTGAACTTTTGTTGACAAAAAATAAGAAATTATTTTGATACCACAATATATTTACATTGAATGAATAAATTAGTTTTAACGAGTTGTTTAACTCTCAATCAGAGACCTTATTTCAACAAAATAGAGACTGAATGTTAGTTGACCAATCCATCATGTGCTTTTTGAAGTTGTATTATGATAAGTTCCCTTATTAACTAAAACTCCTCGATTGAAAGACTTCACGTTGGCTGGGGGTTTCTAGCTTCTGAACCTGAAGTTTTGTGTCCAACTCTCTCTCACCACATTGAAAGAAAGCAAACAGTTTTGATTTCTTCTTCATATAATGTCGGAGAAGGGCATGGTCGAGGTGGGGTTATTATGCTGTTTGGGCGGAGCTGCTTTGTACCTTCTTGGTTATTGCTATGATAGGTCAGTTTGGATCTGCCTTTTGAAATTAAACCTATAGCTTTATGTCGTATAGACGTGGACGTAGCTATATTGTTTAGAGCATATTCGCTCCTCCTATGCATTAAAGTTCGAATCCTCTTCTTCATAGTTTAGATTATCTTCAACCAAAATATTGTCCTTTCACTTAAAGAAATTCTTACTTTTGTTTGGACCCGATTTTACACTATCAGCCTGATTAATCAAGTGCCGTTAAAGGATAGGATGGTTGAAATGATTTTCAATTATTATTGAGAAATAATATTGTGATTTTAATCATGATATTATCTCTTAATAATATATTAAATTATTTAAACCTGATAGTTATCTATATCCCGATTGATTTGAACATTTGGAATATTGGGATATGCGGCAGCAGATAAATATAGTGCCAAATGGTATATGCTTTTGGATATGGCCACGTGAATGTGCTTGTTGGGATTTTATCCCATGTAACTTTGCATGCATAAGCGCCACCTGGATCAACATGGTGGAAATAAAGAAGGAAAACATTGATGTGAGGGCACGGTTTCCTAGTTGAACTAGGAGATAGTCTGAGGGCACAATTTCTTTTGAGGGATGCAAAGGATAAGGAAGGAAAAAACAAATGTTTTTGTTTTTTGAATAATGGTTAGAGTTAGATGATGATGACGGCTAAAAGATAGGCTCTCGCCTATCTTGAGAAGTCTTTGACTGAAGTTTTGGCTAAACAAGTTTGAGTTGAAATCAAATTCTACAAGTCCAGTCTGCGCAGAGCAAGTACTTCAATCCTATAAATATAGATGCAATGACAACGGGAAAAAGACCTCTAATTCAACACACAACTGCCCTGCGCAAAACCTCTCAAACATCTTAAGATTTTTTATTTTCTTTTCCCCCGCCGACATATCTTCAGTTTGGATAAACAGCACTGTGAAAGCAACCGGCGAACATCTTCAGTTTGGATAAACAGCACTGTTGCCGTAGAATAAGCCGTTCTCGAAACACCTTCAGTTTGGATAAACAGCATTGCGTCGAGGTCGACTGGTTATCTATCCAAGTCTCGGTCGAGAAGGATTTTCGAATCCTTATTGGCAGAGGTCATCTCATTAGCCTTCTCGGCGAAGTGAGGTGTTACCAGGTTACTACATTCAGCACCCTGAGAGCCGAATTTGATATTGAACTTCGCAGAACTAGCGGCCTTGTCTTCAGGCTCGAGCATCCAAAGGCCGAGATTTGTTCTTTCCTCGGCTGTAATCGCAA